AGTTCTATCATCACTACACAAAAGAAACTTTCATCGATCCCTAGTAGGTTACATGGGTCTAAATCGACACCTGATTATGAGACAAATGAAAGCATGAATCGTCGTCAATTGAATTCTCAAGTGAACGTTGATTCTTTGAATGGAGGAGTTAGCAATGGCAGTGGGATGTTAAGTGAAGATTTCCAACGGTGGTCTAATGATGAGAACTCCGACAGTATGGTAGGGGTTACCAACAAGGGCCCAGAAGAGAATGATGCTAGTGTAGCATTCAGCAAGATAGTAAGCAGGAACCGAACTAATACAATAAGTTCACAATCTTCTTTAGCCTCGACGATGACGAATACATCGACCTACCAAATGTCTAATTTCCCTGGGACCGGTACTAACTTGGGGGTATCAAGATATTCACCTGGGAAGACCAAATCACCATCGAGACCACGGTCCAGGACCTTTACTAATAGTTCAATAAATCGGTTGTCGAGAGATCTCTCTAACATTCAGAATACGTTGAACTTCATAGGGAACGAGATGCACAGTGAGACGTATCTGGACAATCGGAACAATAGTATTGGTGGCATGGAGAGACAGCACCGGAGGATGCAGCCGTCGATCTCTGAAGTGCATGGTGGTATGGATATAGTGAAGATGATGAATGAAGTTGTTGATAGCGGCGGGATTATATTTGGAGGAGAGGATGAGGAAGAAGAAGAGTTTGATGTTAACAATGTCGAGATGGATGAACGAATGAGAAAGATGAACGAGGAGCTACGTCAAAATGAATACGAGATCATTGAGAACTTTATGTCAAACACGAATACGAATACCCATAATGACAACCATAACCATAACCATAGCCATAGCCAAAATCATAATCATAATTATGAATATGATTATAATGATAATGATAATGATAATCATAACCATAACCATAACCATAACGCCAACCCAAACCATTACCATACTCACAATCGTATTAATAACAACGATATAGATGACGAGACACAACAATCAGCAGCATACGGATTCGAATTCTTTGATGAGACATGAATCCCAGTATACCAATAATATATAAATAAAGCATTCTACATACATATAAAATAAAGAAATAATACTGCAGTATATTCATACAAGTTGCTTGCGTGTCTGTATAATTATTATATATATATTTATATATATATATATATATACGGTCACTAGTGGTATTAGCGACTAGTAGTACTCTTTCTTGTTGTAATACCAAAACATACCACACACGTGACCACACAACCACGTGACACATTCGTTGCATGTGACCACCCATTCCCGTCCGCTCCTGCTGAACCCTGAGCAGCCCCGACGTTACCCGGCCCACAGCCTCAACGTCCCAGGGCGTAAAACTAAAACCCACCGAACAAGCAAACAGAAAGAAGAAAAAAAAAACAAGCAAAAAACACTCAGACACACCCGCACAGCCAGCAGACAGAGAGCGATGGGATTTGGCAATTAAAAAAAATTTAGAAAAGAACTTTATTTATAAGGGGTTCTCACATTATAGGAATTATCATTATAGTTACTGTTATATACTTATATATATATACTTATATATAGGATATAATACAATATATTATAGGATAATCCTTATATATCCATCTTTGAATAGGCTAACCAACATATATACAAGTGTACTCGTCCCTGTTGCTTGGTAGATGTGTTATTGAATAGGTTGATTGTGGGTTTTTTTTCTTTGGTCATATCTCTTTTGGTTAGATATATCTATCTATAAGCTCTTTTTTTTTTTATTTTTATTTTATTTAAACTTCTGGTTTTGAATTTCACAAGCTTATTCAATCTACTATTTTATTCACTGGTTTTTCTCTCTGTTCCTATCAGTTTTTCCCTTAATTAATACTATTTACTTTTTTTTTCTTTTCTGTGGGCTATTTTGTTAACAATGAATTCTTACAACGATGATAGATGTCCCGTCTACCATCCAGATATCTCGGATTTACTACATCTCGACGATTATATTCTGAAAACACTCAAAAATTTGGATCCGACCGATGTCCCAGCTATTAAAATCCTCCCCCCTAAGGATTGGTCAGATGACATCAACCATTTCGGTTCAGACTCAAACATCTCCTTCACTTTGCAGGACTATTCCGTAAGTACAAACAAAGACTCTTCTTACTCTCTCTCTTTGCAGAATTACTCCAAAGAAGTGCCTTTTCTAGAGTTGTTCAAGGACTACGATTCAAAAAATAAAACCACTTCTGACATCAACGATTTCTGGAAAAGATTAAACTCAAAGAAATACACAACGGTCAAGAAATGTGGAGTGCTTTCAAATCCAAGCGACGTACACGGTTGGTCCTTCTCTTCCTCAAAAAAATTGGGGAAACTAAATCCAATTCAAGATACTTTGGTGTTGGGTTCAAAGTTCTCATTCTCCTCACTGCCCAATACCACAGGAAATTATCATTTAAATTACATACATAAGGGAAGCCCAAAGTGTTGGTACATAGTCTCAAAGGACAATGGCGAACTCATACAGAGTTCCGACGAAGATGAGGATAACTCTTTTGTCTCTCCACAGATAATGATGAAGAAAAATATAGAGTTCATCGAAGTTACACAAAATGAAAATGAATTCTTGCTGTTGTCTCCGAATTATAAAGCTTTCCAAATCGATACAGGTTTGAATTTATCAGAACTGTCGACTCTCTCACAAGATTCTCTACAGTTTGGCAACCCTCAACAATCGACAAGTTTGTCCCTAGATCAAGATATCAAAAATAAAAATTTAGGTGAATTGTTAGACCACAGCTCTAATGAATTATCACAGATCGAAGATAACAAATTAATTAACTCACCACTCTCCCTTTCTACTTATAACTTGATCCAAGGCTCATCAATACGATCAACTTCTCCTAACCAATCACAGTTTTTTAACGGTAACCAAACTACAATAAGTAGAATCTCGTCTCCTCTGCTTACAAGAATGATGGATTTGTCAAATATTGTAGAACCAACTTTAGAGGATCCCACTTTGAAATTCAAGAAAAGATTGACTACTTCTCAAGTTTCTTCCCCAAAACTAATCAACACTGCTGTTTTGAATTCTCATGATCCCACTCTTTCGTCGACTGCCCAAGAATTACAACGTACTGCTTCTAACACAGCACCAAATTCTTCCCATGCAGCACATAGTAACATGACTGCCAATAACCCAACTCTTTCATTATTGGAAGATAACGACGATAACATGCTGGCTTTAAGTTTGGCTTCAATGGCCAACTCAAGGGTATCATCGCCACGATTAACGCTGCCTCCGTTGAATTCAGCACTAGATCCTTCTTCCATATCAATGAATTTAAACAATAACAGCCTCTTATCTAACGATAATACACCAAATATGTCGTCGATAAGTTTGAATACAAGCAATAATCCTAATTCTAACCTAAATCAAAATTCTTCCATATTGTCCCCTAAACCCTCATACAACACAAACCCTTTATCGTATCAATCTGTTTCATCGGTGGTAAATAAATCCATTCCAGGTGCCCCATCCTCTCCAACAACTGCCAAACTACCGTTTATTAAACGTTTAAAGTCGCCAAATATTGTAACGCTAAACATTTCTCGTGAAGGTTCAAAAAGTCCAGTATCATTTGTTTCGGATTATAGATCTCCACTAGGTGTAACAAATCCTTTAACCTATACAGGTGCAAGTAATTCAAGTTTAAGCCAATTACAACAGTTGGATTTCAATACTAATAATGGTAATATAAATATAACAAGTAGTAATATTATTGGAAATACAGTGGATACTATACCATCTCCACAACCTCCTGCTCAGAAGAAACCAAAATTGGAAAAGAAATCAAATCAAAATTTCAGTTCCTCTGCACCAACAGCAGGAAGAAAGAAACAATCTTCTAACCAACCTACTCCATCACAACAAACTAAGTTTGCCTCTAATGAAATTATTATATCTGAGAACGGCAAAGTCTACATTTGTCAAGAGTGTAAAAGACAGTTTTCTTCAGGTCATCATTTAACAAGGCACAAGAAGTCTGTCCATTCTGGTGAAAAACCTCATTCTTGTCCAAAGTGTGGTAAACGATTCAAGAGAAGAGATCACGTATTGCAACATTTAAATAAAAAGATCCCTTGTACCCAGGATGGATCATCTTCGGCACCCGTTGCGTCTACTACCTCTACCATCAAATCAGAGACTGCACAACCTTCTTCATCTGGCCCAGATATAGTAGCAGGTTCAGGAATTCTACCATCTGCAACTACCTCATCACTCCAGAGCCAACCTACTGGTCCAATACCGACTGCTGTATCTGAAATACCTGTGGTTCATGACACAGAGGACATGACACACCAGGAACAACACTATACCATGGTTGAAAAGATATGATATCCTTCTCTTATAAAGACATAAACAACAAGGACCAAAATCAAAACCTAATGAGCAACTGTTTAATTACCAAGATAAATAATGAAATAAAGCTATTTGATATCAAATCGTTATTTCTATAAAACTACTGAAACAAGACATGTTTAGAAATTTAACCTTTGGAAAAGAGAAAGAACTTCGAAATGTTTGATTAAAAGTCCATTTCACATTATTCTATTTCTATTTTTATATTCATCCTATTCTATATACTAATACGTTTTATATATCGATCCCATCATCATGACCATCATCATGACCATCATCATGATCATCATCATGATCATCATCACAATAGTTAGAAAACCCTTTAATGTATACACAATTTGTAATATTAAGTAAAAAGTTCGGTTCAATTCTGAAAAGGTTTCCTTAGTTGGTAATCAAGTTATCAGTCACTATAGTAAAGTTTTGTTTTCCAATCCTCTCTCTAGTGGTCAAATCATTGAATCATTCAGATGAATAGTGTATTTAAAGAGAGTTTGTTTCAATTGATAGATAGTTACCTGAATTAAAGTACTCTTTCTCTTAATTTTTTTTCACTGGGAAGGTTCATTTGAGGTTGAGGCAGTAAGAGTTAAGATTCGAATCTGGAGGAGATGTCGACATCAAGTTTGGCAAAGCCATTGAGATTACTGTTATTAGGTGCACCTGGGTCTGGTAAGGGGACCCAGACTTCGAGGTTGTTAAAAGTTTTCCCTAAGATGCAGTCTGTAGCGTCTGGAGACCTCCTGAGACAACAAATTAAAGATAAAACTTCGTTAGGGGTACTTGCTTCGAGCTATATTACTAAAGGTTCATTGATCCCAGATGAGCTTATTACCAAGTTGTTGATCTCGTATTTGGCGGAGAATTGTTGGTTAACACCAAAATCTTCATGGCTGTTAGATGGATTTCCTAGAACTGTCAATCAGGGACAGATCTTAGACCATAAATTAAGCTCATCTGATGTCAACTTGAACCTAGTCGTCGAGTTGGATGTGCCTGAAAGTGTGATATTAGACAGAATAGAAAACAGGTTTGTTCATGTCCCAAGTGGAAGAATATACAATCTAAAATATAATCCACCAAAAGTTCCTGGAAGAGATGATATCACAGGGGAGCCATTAACAAAGAGACCAGACGACAACGTAGAGGTGTTTGCCAAGAGATTGCAGGAATATAAACGTTTAGTAGAACCATTGAAGGAATACTACGCTAACAAGAACGTTCTTAAAACTGTATCTGGTGAAACTTCTGACATAATATTCCCAAAACTTTGTGATTTAATTGTAAATGACTTCGGGGCAAAATAGGATCAACAAATCACACCTTGGTAAGTTCAGATCCCTAGCCTCATCATTATGTAAATATTTAACCAACAAGTATCTAATTTAAATGCTTTTTAATCAATATATCAATCAATTCTCTTGTATTGGACAGACCATCGCTACTGTACTGTGAAAGTATCAGAAGTCACGTGATACATTTTTTCCCTCTTTCAATATCAAAATCTGGTGAAGTTTTGATATTTTGAAGCTTTTAAGAAAGATCAAGAAAGAAACCTTTAAAGTAAGAGTGGAATTATCAAAATCAAGAGTCTGTAGGAGTTATTGAGTACTCTTGAGGGGGGAATTAGTGAAATTGAATAGTGGATTATAGATACATCCTAGTGGGTTTTAATTTTTTTGAATTGTAAAGATGAAATTCTATATTGACGACTTGCCGGTTCTTTTCCCATATCCCAAGATATACCCAGAACAATATCACTATATGTGTGATATGAAAAAGACTTTAGATGCTGGTGGTAATAGTATATTGGAAATGCCTTCGGGTACTGGTAAGACTGTCTCGTTGCTTTCTTTGACGGTTGCTTATCAGATGCATTATCCAGAACATAGGAAGATTATTTATTGTTCTCGTACTATGTCAGAAATCGAAAAGGCATTGATCGAATTAGAGAATTTAATGGATTATAGAAGTAGAGAATTGGGGTATGCTGAAGATTTCCGTGGTTTAGGGTTGACATCCAGAAAGAATCTATGTTTACATCCTCAGGTAAGTAAAGAAAGAAAAGGTACTGTGGTTGATGAAAAATGTAGACGTATGACAAATGGCCAGGCAAAACGTAAATTGGAATCAGATCCTGAGGCAAAAGTCGAATTATGTGATTATCATGAAAACTTGTACGACTTAGAAATCGAAGATTATCTTCCAAAAGGTGTTTATTCATTTGAAAGATTATTAAAATATTGTGAACAAAAGACTTTATGTCCATATTTCATTGTACGTCGTATGATTTCCATGTGTAATATCATTATTTATTCATATCACTACCTGTTGGATCCAAAGATCGCAGAAAGAGTCTCTAGAGAAGTCTCAAAAGATAGTATTGTTATCTTTGACGAAGCGCATAATATCGATAACGTTTGTATTGAATCTTTGTCATTAGATTTAACAAATGATATGTTGAAAAGGGCTACGAAGGGTGCAAACGCTTTGGCCAACAAGATCGAAGAGGTTCGTGAGGTTGATTCTCAAAAATTACAGGATGAATATGAAAAACTAGTTAAAGGCTTACATACAGCTGATATTTTAGAGGAAGAGGAAGAACCATTAGTGGAGGTTCCAGTATTATCACAAGATTTGTTAACAGAAGCTATTCCAGGTAATATCAGAAGAGCAGAACATTTTGTATCTTTCTTAAAGAGATTAATTGAATATTTAAAAACAAGAATGAAGGTTTTGCATGTCATCTCTGAAACTCCGAAGTCATTCTTACAACATTTAAAGCAATTAACATTTATTGATAGGAAACCTTTGAGATTTTGTTCGGAAAGATTATCTCTGTTAGTGAGAACTTTAGAAGTTTCAGAAATTGAAGATTTCAATGCTTTGAAAGATATTGCAACATTTGCCACATTGGTTTCTACTTATGAAGATGGGTTTTTGTTAATCATTGAACCATATGAAATTGAAAATGCAGCTGTTCCAAATCCAATTTTACGTTTCACATGTTTAGATGCCTCTATTGCTATAAAGCCTGTTTTCGAAAAGTTCTCCTCAGTAATCATTACTTCTGGTACTATTTCGCCTTTGGACATGTATCCTAGAATGTTAAACTTTAATACAGTCTTGGAAAAATCTTATGCGATGACTTTGACTAAAAAATCATTTTTGCCAATGATTGTAACTAAAGGTTCAGATCAAGTTGCTATTTCATCTCGTTTTGAAATTAGAAATGATCCAAGTATTGTGCGTAATTATGGTTCTATGTTGGTAGAATTTGCTAAGATTACTCCTGATGGTATGGTTGTTTTCTTCCCATCCTATTTATACATGGAAAGTATTATTTCAATGTGGCAAACTATGGGTATATTAGATGAAGTTTGGAAACACAAATTAATTTTAGTTGAAACACCTGATGCACAAGAGACATCTTTAGCGTTAGAGACCTATAGAAAAGCTTGTTCAAATGGTAGAGGTGCTATTTTACTATCTGTTGCGAGAGGTAAGGTATCTGAAGGTATCGATTTTGACCATCATTATGGTAGAACTGTATTGATGATAGGTATTCCATTCCAATACACAGAATCTCGTATTTTAAAGGCTAGACTTGAATTCTTAAGAGAAAACTATCAAATTAGAGAGAATGACTTTTTATCTTTTGATGCTATGCGTCATGCTGCTCAATGTTTGGGTAGAGTTTTAAGAGGTAAAGATGATTACGGTGTAATGGTACTAGCAGATCGTAGATTTTCCAGAAGAAGAAACCAATTGCCTAAATGGATAGCTCAAGGATTATCCGATGCTGACTTGAACCTTTCAACAGATATGGCTATTGCAAACACAAAGCAATTCTTAAGAACTATGGCCCAACCTACTAATCCAAAGGATCAACAAGGTGTCTCTGTCTGGAATTATGAAGAGCTATTACAGCATCAACAAGAAGTTGAAAGAAAAAAGGGTAACAATTCTAGATCTATTGGAGATGCATCAGTCGAAATTGATGATGATGTAGAAATGACTTGATGAAATCTTAACCTATTACTGCATTGGATGATTTTTAACTGTGCTTTATAAGACAATCCATAAAATTGACCTTTTTATATGAATATTTTATAAAGGACTATTTGCATATACATTTATATATATTAACATAATTGAATAATTTCATAACGAATTTTTGTGATATCATTGGTAAATAATAAATTTCAATTGACTTAGCCAACTTTGCATAAGGTGTCATAATTATAATATCAACCAAGCTGGTGATATTATACATAGGTTATCAGTTTTGAATTTTACAAACCTAATTTATAAGTATAATCTGAGGTAAATAAATTAATCTGGTTTGTATTTCTAGCACGTTAGAGAAGGGGTTTAAAGTATAATACTTGGTAGAATTGTAATTGTTCCAATAACTGCTTCATTGCAGGAATAATTTCTAATTTATAATTGCTTTTTCTTTCCAATTTTATAGTAACTCCCCCAAACTATTGTAACTTCTGAACTGAGCTTAAGACTATCAATCTTTTCCAAAATTTTATTCATATATATTTGGACCAAATCTTCTGAATCTTGATGTTTCTGTCTCCAGGTGAAGTAACTGCTGGAGGTCCTTAGGTAATTAGCAAAATCAGACAGTGCCATTTTTTTGGAGACTATTAAAGGGTTGTTATCGCTGTCATAGTATTTTGATCTTAACATTTTTGCATCAATTATTACTTCTTGGATATCAGTAAATTTCGTTTCATCTAGATGGAAGTCAGCTAACCCACTACGTAAAATAGTTCTTCCTGGTTGGTCCCAATAAGGTCCTAGATTCTCCTGTCCATATTCCAGCTCATGTAATAAAGAATCCAGTTCAGGATATTCTAAAATCACCGAATCCATGTACCCTACAATTGCCAAAGGGGCATCGACTTTGAGTAATTTCCAACTGACATTAACAAACTTGTCAAAATCGAACCAATGACATGCTTGAAAGCAGGTAATCATGTCAATACTCTCAGATGCAAATTTATCATCAATTTTGTCATATCCAGAAATCTCAAAAGATAGTGACTTTATAGAACCATAGGCCTCAGTTGCTGTCTTTATCATAGTATCTGATGCATCTATCCCAATAAGTTGATCAAAATCTTTTAAATTCTTGGATAATTGATAAGTAGCAATCCCAGTACCACATCCAATATCCAATAATGTCTTCAACCTACCGTCATGTAACGATAGGGATGTTTGTTCATACTCTTTCAACTTCTCATAAAATGATTCTGGGTATGAAGGCCTATAGGTATTGTAGTTATTAGCGTTATAGCGTGAATCAGAGAATTGTGACATCTTATAACGCTGCAATTGATCTATCCTGCTTTCTAATATTCAATCATATCAACTTTTAACTCCAATGAATTATATTGAGTTCTCTTTTAGATATCAAATAAGTTTCAAAATATAAAAGGGGTTGTCCTTTTTTGATCTAGCAGCCATAACCAGAACTTGTTTAAATGACACCAATGCAAGAAGTATATAAGCTTTTAGAACAGGATATTGTATCATATACTTAATAATGTCAAAACCTGTATGAAATGAGTCTCAATGAACTCTAATGCTAAATAAATTAGTTTATAATTTATAAAAACTCTATGTATATATATATATATATTAATATAAAATGCAATTAAATTAGTTGTGTAGGATAAAATGAAAATGTACTGTTATGATTTAGATAACTCAACCAAACCCTCCAACCCTCTTCTTCTTCTTCTTGGAACGTTGAGAGAGTTGGGTGCCTTGTGATTGAGATAATGTAGGTACGTTTGATTGCATCAACGTAAATGCTGGGGTCATAGTGTCAGGTAAAGTAGAAGGTTGAGATGATAAAAACGAAGATACTGGCCTTTCCAATCTATTCTGGGTTCCAATTCTTGATCTTGATATCTTTGAGACTCTATTTGTAGTTGCGGATGTTCCTCTATTAACATTTCTTGAAACTTGAGATGACCTAATTGTAGGAATTTGGGTTTCTGTATTTAAGCTAAATTGTGGTTGACTGAAAAATTGATTATTAACTAAGTCTGCTTTTTCCAATTCTTCATCTAGTTCAGATTCATCCATGTCCCAAGTATCGATGATTTCTTTGTAAGGTTCTTTCAGCCTGTTTGTTAGTTCTTCATCTAATTCAGTAAAATGCGAACGTTTGCAAAATGATATAATGGTCCAAATTATGCTCATAATAACTTTTGTTGTCAAGACCTCAGAATGATCTGTGATCATTTCCCAACATTGTAACAATTTGTTGAATAGTAACTCTAATCCATCAATATCTTCATGTAGTAATGATTTATACATATGCTTCAAATCTGTGAATATAATATCTTCTCCTTCATAATGTTCCATAAGTTGTTTGATGAAGGACTCAAATTCAGCAATATTTTCACGAAAGTTTGGGAATTCACCAAACTCTTTTAAAAATTTCCTTACCATACGATGGTCAGTTCTATCATCTAATTTGTCAATAAATCCATTTAGTTCATTCGAGATTTTATAACCAAACGATTGGAATAGATCATAAATATTTTGTGAATCATCGATCTTTGAATCAAAATCAAATAAGTTTTCAAATATTTTGTGTAAATATACTTCAACTGAAACAGGAATAGTATGCTGATTTATTTCGCCTTCTATCTCATCGTTTAGAATCTTTGTCGTCTCTGATTGATTATTATTCCCATTCAGTTCATGGGATCTACTTCTGGACAGTATAAATCTGTGAACCACTGAAGTCTTATTCTCTTTTACATAAACATTGATCCAAGAAGTGTTCCATGAACTATTCTCAGTATCGGTACTATAAATCTGATCTGATTCTAAGTTTGGTGAATCTATGAATGTAACGTCTCCAATACCATTTGACACACCAGGAAGTGTAATAACTCTTGAATTTTTGCTAGCTTGTAGTAGTCCCTCTACATTGATCGAAAATACGTGAACGTATAATAGAGGATGCTTTTTGGAATAAATAAAAATTATAATCTCAGTTTCTTCTTCACCTTTTATTAAATGAAATGAAAATTTAATAGTATTGTCTAGGGATATATCATGCTTCCAGGATAATTTTCTTGTAATCTGATCATTTTTACTATTTGTATCAAGGAAGATTATCTCTTTAGAAGTTAGGAGTACACTCATCTTGTCGTCTACCCTTTTATAGTCTCTTAATGTCGACCAACTCTTGGCCTCTACAATTGTAATTTGCCAGTTTTGCATAAAATCCAGTTCTATCATTTGTGATCTACTCATGATTACAAGTCTTGTATAACTTGATGACCATGATATTTTTTTCCAATTTGATAACTCTTCCTCATCAAATATTGAACCAGACATATCGTTAACTAAGGAAATTTTCCATGAATTATTTAAACTCTTCTTAATTTTTCCTATCGACCAATTTCCCATAATATCAACAACTGCAATTTCATTCATATCCCATGGGTTAAATGCCATATCAGAGAATGGGAAATCACTAAATTCATTGAATTTCAATTTTTCAGATAAAGAATATGTGATATTTCCTGAAGTCGAATTTATATTTGTTATTTTAATTATTTGAATGAAAGTGTCAGTGATGACAGCAAACATATCTGGTGTCCTATCAAACATATCTGATAACTTTGGGAATACTATTTTCTTGATCTGAGTTTGATAAGGAATATTAACTATGTTTTTTGATGTCTTGATAAACCAAGTTCTTGCTTTTGTTTCCATAGCAGTATCCGGTTCAGACAAAGGTACATAATCATCGTCCATAACCCCCAAGACTAGTCTTGACCGTGAATTTCCTGATACGCAAACAACGAAGTTATGAGGGTCTTTCCCGTTTCTTAGATCAGATACAGTTTGAATTTTAATAACGTGTAGTAATCCACTAATTGTGGGATCAAAAGTATGAGTACTAATTTTCTTGCGATGTCTACTCAGAAAAGAACCCAAATCACCGTTTTGGGTCCCTGATGTCTCCAGGACATGGCCTGGTATAAAATCCCTGTGTACAAGTGAGGCAGATTCATTTATATCGTAGAAGTTATTATGATCCATATCAACTTTTGAAAAAATTTGTAAATTTTCAGGAATCACTGGAGATAAATTATCCCAATTCATCTTACTAACCAGAATACTCTTCCAGTGTTCAAATTCTTCCTCATCTTCAAAACCAGATCGGCTACTGTCACTATCATCAGAATCACTTACAAACTCATCGTCATTATGGCTGTTATTACCATTATCTTTAATCCCTGGAGAGTTTCCTCTTTTATCGAGCAGGGGACCCAGAGAAATCATCTTCATATGAAGTGAACGTTCAGAAAGCTTTTCATTAACACCAGTGATCCATTTCCCAGCCTCATTAGTACCAGAATATACGGCAGGACCTTCTATACCAAGACCTAATTGAACACCTATCGGTCGACGTATGGGAAGCATAATCAATATTAGTAGATATTCTCAAAATCCCATAAACAAACAGTAAAAATATTAAAATACTATATAAAACAATAACAACAGAATCCAAGTAACTTAGCTTTGAACCTTCTCGACCACTATAAGTACCTTTATTTTAAACAAATACCTCAATCTTTAATGGTTGTTAAACCTTTCTCATCGATTTTTCAACTTTAAATATTTGATCTCATCTCGTTTTAAAGCTATATGGTAATGGCGATGAGGTAAGAAACAGCATGAGAATCAATGATTAAAAAGTATATATTGTCTTAAACTGTCGTGATCTAACCAATGGACCTTTCTATTAATGAGAGTATAGTTGTAGTTAGATTATAAGAATATTTCCCAGTTTTGTGGGCATGAAACTTAATTCTATGCCACTTTTAAGAGAAAAAGATCAAGACTCAGAGCATCGAGACACCCTCAGGATACATCATAGATATTAGCAAGAAATATAAATTTGTAGCAATGATATCGATAAATTCTGTTACTATAGCATACTAAACCCAAGCAAAATTATAATTGGAAACAAGTTTGAACGCCTATGGGTACGTTGGTGACAGATATCAAAATTGCTCAATAATTGGTTTACTTTCTCCTAGTCTCAGGAACCTTAAAAGTATGGACATACACACATATATATCTATAATTATATTATAAAGTAATGGGATCCAAACTGATTCGCCATTTAAATGCATTTAGGATCAATTGTGTTCTTTAGACATCAAGATCTACTTACAATGCATAGGTTAACCATTTCAATATCGAATGAAACTTGTAAGAAAGGTTAGGATGAAAACAACTCCTAATTAACCATCAGTGTAAATACTGAACAATCTATCACAGTTCAAACGCTGATTTTGAACTGATCCTGACAACCCATTGTTCATTATAAGCTATCTGACATCTTCTTATATATTTCTGGATCAAAATTTTATAGCAACGAACGGAATGCCTCTAAGAAGCATTTATAAATTATCGATGCCCTGAATTGAACAATAGTAACCAAAGAATAAGAACCTCTGAGGACGAGTGGAGGTCTCCAAGTTCTGATTGCTACTTCAACTAGAGTTATTATATGGTTTCACTGGGCAGTTTGGTCTTTGCTTGGTCAAAGAGGTTGAATTATAGTGGTAGAAGGTATTATTTTCATAATGGTAAGGACCCTTTGAAAATTTTATTCTTTGGTAGTGATGAATTCAGTATACATTCATTAAGGGCATTGAATGATATTAAATCAACTGGCTCTGGCATTTTGGACTCTATCCAAGTTGTTACAAGAAGTCCCAAATGGTGTGGAAGAGGTAAAAGTATTCTTAAGGAAACACCTATAATGCATGTTACAGATACAATGGGACTACAGAACGCATTATTTTGTGATAATAAACAGGAATTGATAAGTCTGAGGGATTCTGTGGATTTTAATATGATTGTCGCTGTATCTTTTGGACAGTTGATTCCTCCTGAGTTGCTGGAAAAATCATCATGGTCAATGAACGTACATCCATCTTTATTACCCAAATATAAAGGTTCTTCCCCTATACAATATTCTTTATTAAATAGAGATGAATTTACTGGAGTTTCAATCCAAACATTGCATCCAACAAAATTTGACCATGGCTCAATAATTTGCCAAACACCTCCATTAAATGTTGCTGAATTATTGAAAAAGGGAACTGTTTCTAACTTTGTAGAAGAGACTCCTTTGAAAACAGCTATCTTAATGGATCAACTTGGTATTGCTGGTGGATATTTACTAAAAAATATAGTTTTAAAAGGATTGTACTTGCAAGACCCCAAGACAGGTTATCAACCGAATCCAGATATAAAGCCCAGCTATGCTCCAAGAATCAAGTCAGAACAAAGAAAGATTCATTGGGAAAACGATGATGCATGTACATTAACAAATAAGATAGGTATATTGGGACCTTTATATACTTTCAAAGAGGTCAAATTAAAAAGTAAAGATCTTTTAAAGCGTATCATATTTCATGAGGTCAAGGAAACTCTAGAGAGGCCAGCTCAATTAATATATCCTGGAGACTTTTACTACGATGGAAGTACAAAACTATTATATGTACTATGTTCAGGGAATACATGTATTAGTATATCTAAGTTACAATTCGAAGGTTTTGCAGTGGAAAGTGCTGAAAGTTTCAACTCAAAGCTAAGGAAAAGGTGTGGACGGGACTTGTTTGAGAAGACTTTATTTGTTAATTAGTAAGAGAGACACATCAATCATAAATCATGTAAATAAGTATAAAAGTTTTATAAATTCTAATCGATAATTTTAAAGATATCAAAAATAGTTTAAACAAAAATAAGAATATTTAAAAGAATGTAAATAACGAGGGCTCTTATATAATTTAATCAAAAATCTGTAAATAAATAAAAATATACCTATTTAACCTTAGGTATTCAATATAGGTTCTAATGTCCAGCATTAGTTCACCTGTGGTCAAGGTTTCATTAAAGTTTCCTTTTTTAAGTAGCTAGATCCGGTTTCAGATTCTGTCTCAGATTCTTCTTCAATAGTTTCCAACACAGCTTGACTAAAATACATCTCTAGTCGTTCTCTCATGAGTATCTCATGAATGGTGAGATTTGGCAATTGGGCAAAATTTTCCAATACGACATTGTATACTTCGAGGTAAGCTGCGTCGTCTTTGATAGTACTTGACATATCAAGTTCCTGTCTCTGATTCGAATTAGGGACATCTTCTTCGAAACTAAACTCACCAGTAGCAATTGCCTCCTGAAATGACGCTAATGGGTCCAAGAAGTCTGGCACTTTCGCATCATTGTTATAGGAAGCTTGTGGAAATTGCTCTAAGGAGTAGTTATTTTGATCACCTATTAATTTTTCAATTAGGATTTCATTCAGATGGTCAATTGGTACTGGATTATTATCCTCAGAAATACCATTATACATCAGAACTTGTCTTTGCATTTGACGTATATTTTCGGAAATTTTAGATGTTCTTTCACCTAGTTCACTCATGTTTGTTTATTATTTAACTTTACTAATTTGGCTCTTTTATTTTTTGTTGGGCACTATGGATATATGAAAAGATAAATGAAAAATGTGTCATAAAGAATGGGAAAACCAAACTCTGACATTACTAAAATAACTACCACTTAAATATGTTTTATTTTGAAGTTGCTATCCATAGTTCTTATTCTCATTCGAAAGCAATTACTACTAAATCCAGGAAGTCTACTATCACTAAAATTTATTTAGCTTATATATATAATAAATTAACTATCAATAGCAATGGATCTCTCACAACAAAATAAAAAAAAGCACAGCCCTAAATTATACAACATACACATACCCATATATATATATATATACCAATGCAATCCTCAATTCAATACCAATCAGACACCCCAAACCTGATATAACTCTTAAAATACGTAGTTTCTTCAAGCACTTGCCATGAGAGTAATCAAAATCTCTAAGTGTCACAATTTTCCCCACCAAAAACACAGACAAACAAACAATATTATATAAATGTGTATTAAATATCAAGGAACATACAACCACATGCCGTCAACCATCAAAGTAACATCCAGCCAGAGATTATAGCATTCGTGTCATTTTGCAAAATCGTGTCAGACCCTGAATATATCATCTTCCAGTAAACCGATTTCTCCAAATTAAACCCTAAAAAATCAAACAAGAATCAATATTAAACAGTTCACATATCAAGTATCTTTTGAATCATAAAAGTATAACCTTATAATCCTGTAAACAATTGTAAACTTGTTCATCAAACTGGCTAGCCATTGCTGTTTTAAACGTCACATTCATCGTTTCGTTGTTGTCGTCTCACCCAAAACGGAAACTTTACCAAAAAGAAAACAAGAATGTTGAAATTGATTTCGAAATCGAATCAAGATATAAAAGATATAAGATGATGATGATGATGGTGATGATGTTGATGTTGAATAAGTTGCTTTCAATTGGTATAAGAATTGTTATTGGAGTTTGATAAATTTTTATTTGATTCTTGTTTTGTTGGTTTTGTTGTTTTTGAAGTTGGTAGGCTTTCTAATTTTATCAGGAGAGGGGAGCAGGACATGGATTCTTCACGTTCTTTGGTGAATTTATCACCAGGTAAGAATTTTATCGCAATGGTTATATCAGATAATGAAAGTGATGATACTACGTCTGATGATTATTCTGGATTGAAGAGTTCTGTGTCTCCTGTTGCTAGTAGTGGGTTTGACATTTCTGGAGATCGCAAGAGACAATCTATGGTTTCTTCAGGTTCATCCAAGAAGAGATGGTCTAGTTTATCATCCTATGGTACCAAGCAGAGGATCTCAGGTTCTGATTCAGTCAAGTCCAATAAGAGGGTATCTATGTATGGTATGGGGTCTTCAGAGACCGGAGGTCATTTTGCTGATGTTGGTGTTAGTAATAATAGTATTACAATTCCTACTTTAGTTAGAACAAGTACCGATTCTCCTATCAAACAATTGTTTACCAAAATCTCTATTAGTGATGAGAATAATGAGAATAGAGATAATAGAAAATCAAGGGAATTGTCACTCCATGGAAAACCGGTATCCGAGTTGTTTAAAGTTAATAGTTATGCAAAAAGATCTCCGTTAGCGCCATTGCAGAATGAAAATTCCTCTAAAATTCAACATAATAAGACTAATAACATCTACAAAGTTCCAGAAAATACTTCAATTAAATCAATTTTCGGAGGTTCTATCGAGGAGGAAGAAAGTAACAGATCAAATCCTTCTAAATGGAAGTTTTGGAAAAGAAACAGTCTTTCAAGAATTCCTACTACTAATAGAAATACCGGGGATACCAGAGGACTAGAACGTCATTCGTTTGTAGAACCTCAATTGTCTAACAGATCATCATTATCTTCAAATTATAATTTGAAGAAAAAAAGCTCAAGTTCAAGTTTATCATTACATGGATTGAAACATAAAACTTCGCACACTTCTTTAAAGAATTTGAAAAATAGAAAGACTGCAAATAATATGATTCTAAATGATAACAATGGCAATACATTGAACAGTACTAGTACCCATAATAACAGCAATACCCATAATACCCATAATACTAATAATAATAACAATAATAACCACAACAACAATAGCATAGCTGGAAAAATGCAAATTTCATTACCAGTTCCTGATCAAGCATCTTGTGATAGGATAAAAACAAAACTACAACATTCAACTTCGATCGTTTCATTGCAGTCACATATATCAGAAGCTGCAATCAATAAGATAGATTACGATAATCGTATTTTACATGATATTTTAGAGTATTGTGATGTGAAATATGTTATGGATCAAAATACTCCTACAATTATGACAAAGTCTTTATACAAACTTCCAAAGGAGAATAAAAAATTGAGCAGCAATGTATGGAGATTTTTTGATAAGGCTTCTAGAGAATCAATCATTTTGAAAAAATTATCTTTGAACTCCTTTGAAAGTGCACAATATACAAAGGAAATGTGTCTACAAGAGTTAACTACATTGAGGTTATGTAAGGATACAATGGGTCTCCCACTATTGCTTCAATCTTACATCTTCAGAGAGGTAAACTCAGAGGTTCCATATGAGGAAAACACATACCTAATGATATTCATGAAGGATCACGGTTCTCCATTATCTAGCTATGTCCCAGGAAATTGGAAGATATTGCTTAACATTTTTTGGCAACTCACCACAACACTTTATGTGATGGAGAATAAGTTTGAATTTGAACATAGAAACTTGACTACTGATCACATTCTCGTGGACAAACTTGGGAATATCACTATTTGTGATTTCAAATCATGTAGATTCAAACCTAGTTCAGATAGACCATCTATGTTTACTAGACTAGATCATTCGATTTTTTTCCAAGGTGGTAACGATTATCAATATGAAATATACGACTTAATGAGAGCTTTGCTACCTGATACTTCCTACTGGAGGAAATTTGAACCAAAGACTAACTTGATCTGGTTACATTACGCTTTAGTTAAATTGAAAGACATCGGTGAAAAGAATAAATGTCAAGGTGGAGAAAAAGAAGCAATATGCATACTATCTAATCTATTGGAACCATTCAATTTCCCATTATCAAATTCAAGTATTACATCTTGTGGTGACTTATTAAGTCTAAGAAAAAGATTATAAAAAATTAATTAAATCCATTCCATCTATAACGATTAACAAATCAAACCTTCCTTCCTCATTCATTTTTCTCTATAACAACACTATGATAAAATTATATTTAACTATTCTATTTCTATAATAATAAATAAAATTACAGCATTTACTGATACATATAACTTAACCGTCGTTATAATATTTACTGTCACTAACGAGTTTATCATCATCAACATCATCATTTATAATAGTCAGGTTTCCTTTATTCAGCCAGCCAGCCAGCCCTTTGAATATTTAAATCAAGAAGGGCCTTATAGAAAAAACTGATTCAAGGTGGTTTTAACATAGAAGAAGAAGAATAATGAAATGGAGTTAGTTAATGAAGACAGTTGATCATTAAACCTATTTATTGATTAGTTGCATTGTATATTTGCTGATTTTTTCCACGTTATACCAGGTTATCATTTAGGTATTTTTTTGTAAAGATGGATTTAACTGATAAACTGATTATATCAAGGCCATTGTACTTTACAGATGATACCAGCAATTGTGGTTATTGTAGTGGTAAAAAAGCTGACAAGAGAAGATATTTTGCATTAGATTCATGGTATGAGAAATACTCTAATGATTTAGACCAAATCAAGGTTAGCAATAATACTGTTGGGTTTCATTTGGAGTCAATTAGTATTGATAAGTATGACAACTTTTGTAATATGGGATTTAGAAGGTCTGGTACTTTCATCTATAAGTGTGATATGTTGAGAAACTGTTGTAGATTATATACTATTAGAACATCAGTTGGTGAATTGACGTTAACTAAAGAATTGAAAAAGGCCCTGACAAGGTTTCGTAAATTAATTTGTTCTGATAATTTGAAACCAAACGATTCACAAAACTTTATCGAAGAAATAGCTAATATGGAGAAATCTTCAAATAGATTTAAAACAGTTTTTGAACCTCCTGTCTTCACAGAGGAAAAATATCAATTGTTTGCAAAATTCCAAGAAGAAATCCATAACGATTTCGATCATACTCCAAAATCGTTTAAGAGGTTCCTTTGTAACTCACCATTCCCTGAAAAGACAATCATGGGTGATAAAGAGGAGTGGTGCACGTTGAACCACTGGAGAGACTTAAAATCAGATGAATACATCACAAGGTTGGGCCCAACTCATGAATGTTACTATTTAGACGATAAACTAATTGCATTTGCAGTGACTGATTTTATGAAGACTGGTATATCATCAGTTTATTTTGTATGGGATCCTACATTTGCCAAATATTCTCTTGGTAAAGTTAGTGCATTAAGGGAATTGGCAATTACAAGTAAAATCAAAGATGGATTTTATTATTTGGGTTACTACATCAGTGATTGTGATAAGATGAATTACAAAGGAAAATACGGAGGAGAATTATTAGATATTTGTAGTGGTGACTATGTACCACTGTCTAAAGTATCTAAAATAATCGAGACAGGTAATTTTTTTATGGCAAAAAATCCTAATGAACAAACCAATCCTGATGAGGAACCATTAATGAATGAAGTATTTGAAAAACAATGCCACAAATCTCTCAAAAATGATATCCCTCTGGTAAACATCTCCGATATGATATACGGAGTCAATTCTAAATCTGTGATGTTGTCAAATGAAGCTGTCTTAGAGTTGAACAAACTAGGAATACCTTATACCCAAGAAAACATCACATCTATTTACAAATTGAAGAACGAGACAGATAAACCATCTGAAGAGATGATTATGGGAAACGATAAAGTCACCACCATACCAAATGTCATCCCAGGTTTAATCTCATTACCAGAACTTGTAGACATGATCAAAAAACATAGATTAACAGAACTGAATTATCAATTAATCATATTCGATTCACAACTAGGAAAAATGAGACTAGTAAGTGATTTCGATTCAGAAATTCCAGAGACCAAAAGAATCATTTGCGACATGATCAGAACAGTTGGCCTAGAATACGCTACGGACACTATATTAATTCTATAGAGCTTTTTGTAATAAATATGTAATTACCCAATATAAAACGAAATATATGGACTCAAATCCAAATATTCTCGTCAAATCAACATAAATAGATTCATATCTGTTGTTCACAGTCACCTTTATCTTCAAGTTAACCTTCATCTCGATTTGTCGTCACTATGGAAAATTTGATATCAAGAATCTTGATTTCTTACAGATATTAAAAATTGAAAATTTACACTACTTCAAGATGATGAAATGTTAAAATGAAGGCTTTATAAGGCATATAAGATAAGAACAAGAGGGACTGGACTAGAATCAGTGGTGATTAGAATGAGTTCTATAGCAGAGATCGTTGATGTATGTTTAATTTTTGCTTTTTATGTTTCAGGAGAAAACGATTAGCATTGTAAAATATTTTAAATAGAATTTAATACTAACAATGAAAAAAATACAAAATTTTGTATTAATTTTAATTCTAATAGTTGATCGAGAAGTTATATTCTCCTAATCCTTCACAGGAGGTAAACCAGATTCAACAGAGGTTACAAACTATCCAGAAATCTCATGATGGGTTTCATGTAGCCAATGAATTATTAAAGATTGGAAGTTATCCATCAAATGTCAATTATTTTGGTGCTCTAACCCTTACTGTTCAATTAAACACTAATGTAAACTCATTTGAGACTCTTTGGAAATTATTTAGAGTTAATTTGATTCATTTGGCTAATTTTTGCAATTTTTATGTTTCAAATCCACAAGTGAATGCTCAACTTTTAACTACAATTAAAAAGCTTATGTCAAATTTATCTTTGATATATACAAATATAAATGAAAACGAACCAACTGCTTCAAACGAAGATCAGGTTTCTTCTTGGAATAATCCTTTAAATACATTACTTGTTTTATTATCACAATCTAATAATCTAACTAATGAACAATGGCAAAATTTTGAAGATCCACAATTGGAAATGTTTTTGAAGAATTCTGTTAATGCAGAAGTACAATATGAACAATTGATTAATTTTATTAATACAAATCCAGTATATAATATGATTCTAATCATTTTTACTGAAATTATAGTTGAAGATTTGACAAAATACCAATCAAGAAAGGCTACAATGACAAATGTTTATAAAGTGTTACATGATCATTTATACATCACGACTATGGCTTTAATGAATTATAATTTAACAATGACGCAATCTAGAGATGACATCTTGTATTCATCTATTAATGCTTGGATCAGTTGTATTTCAGTATTTAGAAATATCTCATCCCATGGTAATATGGATTTAACTGAATTGTTCAGCAACCTTATCACTTTAATGTGTTGTTCATCAGCTGAAACTGATAACTTTGTAGAGGCTGAAAAGATTTTAAGCATCTTTACTGGTGTATTTGCCAATGATCCTACCCTAATCAATTATGAATTGAGATCTGAGATTGAAACAATATTCCTTGGTGTATCAAGAAAAATTAATGCAGATACATCAAAAAATGCATGGATGCTTCAATATATGAACCACTTGGTAACTAATGAAATGACCAATGAACTAAGAGAACTTGCTGGGTGTATTGTGGATTTCTTACAAATCAACACATTAGACGTGTGCAATAAGCTATTTGTAAATATACCATCTCAAAACATTAATCCAAATTACTTGGAAGAATATATCAAAGTTCTATTGCAATTAACCAATTTCCCTTTGACTCCAGTGTTACAAGAAGCATTTTCTGTTAGAATGGTGGATTTCTGGATGGACTTGTCTGAAAGCTATTCCAACTTAGCCCCAGAGACCTTATCACCTGAAGCTCCTGAAAGAGCAGTGGGGATATTCCAACAAGTTGTAAGCATTTATCTTCCAAAAATCAGTTTGTTAATTAAACAAAAGATAATTGATGAAGATGGTGAAGATTCTTCTTTACACGAATTTGAAGACTTTAGAACTGCAACTTCAGATATGATAGAATCTTTATGGTCAGTTTTAGGTAACGATAAGTTAACAAATGTCCTAATAGAGGGTGTCTCCAATGCAAATACCTCACAAAACTCTGCGGATATCGACGTGTTCCAAACAGAAGCCATGTCATTCTTACTGAACAAATTACTTGTAGATATGACATTATCTGAAAGTCCTTGGATTTGTGATATTATTGGTTCTAATAAGATGTTCATTCAAAATGTAATTTTCCTATTTCAATCAGGAATGCAGAGTTCAGCTCAGACTGCATCATCCAAGCATTTGAAATTAGATTCTATTAGGACTAGTTCCAGTCTATTAGGAACTTTATCTGGATATTTCATACAAGATAATTCTCAATTGAGCTCTTGTGTAGAATCATTATTCCAAGGGTTGCAAGGTTGTACAGTCAATACCAATGACAACAATAAGGAACTGAATGAGAAATTAGAGACTATTGTTATTAGATCAATTCATACTATTTTTGAAGTATGCAGGAAAGAATTGTCGTCGTATTTAGACCACTTTTTATCCATATTAAGCTCCATTTTGAAATCAGACTCTAACGTTTCCAACTTTACAAGAGAAAAATTAATTCATTCTGTCGGTTACTTAATTCAGGCCAGAACATCAAATGGTCCACAGGAGCAAGGTAGATATATCCTACAATTGGTGGAAAATATTACAGAGTTGATCAAAAGCTCAGGAAATCTTCCATTTCAACAACAGCGCGATTATGTCCATAGTCTGTTGACATGCATTTCAGAACTTGGATCCTCCTTAATTCCGTCTGATGAAGAGGAAGATATTGAATTCTTAAAAAGAATACATGAATTCGAAGAGTTCTGGAGAATGGATCCCTTGCAAGTCAGAAATAAAGTGACTGAATTGTTAGATCTAGTTTTATCCGATCCTCAGTATCAGAAAGATTCGAGATTTGCCGAAGTCTGTTGTTTAATCATGGGTAAGGCATTGGTTGTAAATGATGGTCCTCATTTCTTGGCTTATTCAATGACAGAAATCATGGAATTCGTTATGAAGCATTTGCCAAATTCTGAACTATCCACTTCTTTACCATATTATACATATTTACTAGAAAGAATGATTGTTAAGTTCAAAGAAACATTAACTCCGAAAGATATTGATTTTATGTTTGAAAGATTCTTCCTTTCATACTACCAACAATCAATTCAAAATGACCCTGACCTACTGCAAACAGTAATCAATTTTGTCAATTGCATACTAGATTTGAAACCATCATTGATAATCTATACTAAATACTGGGATATATTTATCCTTCCAGAGTTTTTAAAATTACTACCATCTAGAGAAAAATTCACCATATTTGCAACAACTAAGTTCTTTACAAAATTAATCAACAACAAAAGATACACACAAGAAGAATTACAAAAGACAAGCCAAGATGTTATCTCATTGGGACAAGACATTACTTATCAAACAATGTATGGTTTATTCAACACTCAACGTTCTGATCTTAACTGCTATACCGATCTAATCAGAGCATTGATAGCAAAATTCCCAATGCAAACAAAACAATGGCTAATGACTGCATTACCAACCATATGTGACAATAATCCTGCCCATGAAAAGCTAATTCAAAAGTTATCTGTAACCAGAGGTAATCGTGCTGCCAGCAACGTATTATTAGAATGGTGGTTAGAATGTAACTCATTACCAAGCTTGTAACAATAAAAACAATAACCATCGCAATACTAATATATGTTTTATAGATACTAAATAATAAGTTAAGTATTCATTTTAAATTAAAATCATCATCGAAAATTAATTCAGTTCCATATTTAATGACACTTCTTATTTTACATACTTAAGCTTAAAGGCCTGACTAAATTTATAGATGAAATAATTCAAAGTGAAAAATTCATCTATAAAAGCTGATTGATTAAACATTTAAAGAAGACTTCAATTGCGATTTTGGGATTAATAGAGGTAGAAGGGTCCACAATTGATCTAACTAGTTTGTGAATAACTTCTTATTGATACTTTAGCTACTGATCGAGAGGTATTTTCGTGTATTTTTAGTTCCTGTGAGGTTTCCTGATTGTTGATATTGTGAATGAAAGTTGTAAAGTTTCCTTGGCTTTCTCATAGGGAAGAACATAGAAAATATGAAGTTTATTCAGCAGATGTAAGTCCAGATGGCAAGAGATTAGCAACTGGTGGTTTAGATGGTAAGATTCGTATCTGGTCTATAAGCTCAATCTTAGAGGCATCGGTAAGTAAAGACCCTAATAATCTTTCAAATGATTTAAAGTTACCCTTAGCAAGTATGAGCAGACATACAGGTTCAGTAACTTGTGTGAAGTTCTCACCAGATGGAAAGTATTTAGCTAGTGGTTCAGATGATAGAATTCTTTTGATTTGGGCATTGGAAGAAGAGAATCGAATAGAACCAGTCTTCGGATTTGAACATGATAAAGAGCATTGGACAGTACGTAAGAGACTGGTTGCTCATGATAACGATATTCAAGATATATGTTGGGCTCCAGACTCCAGTATACTTGTTACCGTGGGTTTAGATAGATCGATCATAGTGTGGAATGGTGTTACTTTTGAAAAAATTAAAAGATTTGATGTCCATCAATCGCATGTTAAAGGTGTTGTGTTTGATCCTGCCAACAAATATTTTGCTACTGCCTCTGATGATCGTACATTGAAAATATTTAGATATCACAAGACAGGAGATTCGATGTTCACCGTAGAACACATTGTAAGGAAACCATTTAAAGAATCTCCCTTAACTACATATTTCAGAAGGTTATCTTGGTCTCCAGATGGTCAACATATTGCTGCGCCAAATGCTACCAATGGTCCTGTAAGCTCAGTGGTGATCATAAATAGAGGTACATGGGATACAAATATTTCCTTGATTGGTCATGATGCTCCTACAGAAGTAGTAAAGTTTAATCCTAGACTCTTTGAAATTCCTACTGAAAATAAATCGAAAAGGGAATCGGATGGATCTGAAACTTCCTTACCAAAATCATCCCATAACTCAATTGAATCTATAGTTGCCTCTGCTGGTCAGGATAAGACTTTAGCGTTATGGTGTACTAATAGAATTAGACCATTGTTTGTAGCTTATGATATTGCAAACAAATCAATTACAGACCTTGTATGGACTCCAAATGGTAGAGTGTTATTTGCAACATCGTTAGATAGCTCGATAACCGCTTTTATATTTGACAAGAATGAGCTAGGTAAAACTGTATCCTTGGAGAGAAATATGGAGGAGCTACATAGATATGGTGTTGATAAAGATTCTTTAGATTTCCCAGAGAGTGTAAAACAATTATATCTAGAGGATTCTGTAAAAAAGATCAATATTAGGCAACCAGAAAAGATAGACTCGAAACTCTTAGAAAGTAGAATTACAATGGAGTCGTCTCCAAAAGTACATCCTCCAACTTCAAAAGAGCAGAATGAGAAGAAGTCTGAGAGAGTAAATATATTAGTGCCAAAGAGAGCAAGAGATGAACAATTAAACAAAACTGTGGTGAAAAACGGGAAGAAGAGAGTTGCACCAACTTTAATTTCCTCTGGTTACTCTCCGAATAAAGCCCAGCAATCTATTAATGGATTAAATAGTAGTAATGATGAATCAAATATACTGAAGTTATCTTCTGTTCAGAAACCAGCAACATTATTTAATTTGTCCAAAAAATTTAGTTCCTCTTCATTCCCAATACCAAGATTGGGTGTTCATTCTTTGATTATGGGTACTAGAGAAAGAACAAGGATAAAAACAGATGCTAACCCTGAAGATTCAGGAGATGCTAACTCTATCAATATATCATACAATGGAGAAAATTCTATAGGTGGCAATGATAGTGATAAAGAAGAAGAAGTAATGCTAACTTTAAATTCAAAATTAACACCTGATAAGGTGTGGAGTGATGAACCAAGTTTAAGATATTTAGAAAATAGTAGTATTCTTCCAGATACTGATTCGGTTTTATTACAATGTGGTGATCTTGAAGACTTCCATGTATTGGAAATTCGTAATGGTGTTGAAAGATCGATCCAATTTGATAAGGATGCTCTTTTTGATAATCCAACGAGGGTTATTGGTTATAATCGTGGTAAAAGGTCACTTGAATTTTTTATTCCAGAGGTTATTATATCTGTAATTGGTTCAGCAAAATACAAATGTTGGTGTATGGCAACATCGGATGGGTCATTATACATAGTGTCCACCAACGGTCAATTTAAATTACCAAAGATTAGCATAGGTCATAAAATAATTAAAATGGTTATATTTGATACAACTTTAGTTGTGCTAACCGAGCGAGGATTATTCTTTGGATGGGATTTATTGAAACTTAAATGTGTAATAAAGAATATCTCGATTTTACCAATATTATATAGAGAAGATTTTGAATCTAATAGGATTAGAATAAACAAGAAGATAAGGAATTTTGTACTGGTCCCGGAAACAAAATCATTAATAATAGAAATGATAAATCCTGATTCCACTTATGAGTGGAAAACTGATTTGGGTTGTTGGACAGAAGTAGTTAACTGAATAACTATTTTCACTATGATTTAGTTAAAAATTGTAATAATATTAATAATATTAATAATTCAATAATATAATTGATGTAATGAGAGAAGATAATAAAAATTTAACAGTTCCATTACAATGACGGCATTGAGATAGTTATGCTGACATTTCACATTGAAATGAAATAAATAAAAGAGAAATAAGTGATTGGACTATTAATGTTCGGTTAGACCTGCTTTTCATGTCAAATAGTTATTTTATTTTTTGTTGTTTAATTCAGTATATGTATAATTATAGAATCTCTAGTAATTGCATAGTTGATATTGTAATAGTTCACTTGCTTGCAAATGAATGAGAAACCTTTTTAAACTTCGACATTTTCGAATCCAATTTCTTCTAAAAGATCATTGATATTTCCAGAAGATACGTCCTTTATTAGAAGCACCAAATTTTTGCAGATTTTAGATCTAATGGTAATCTCTTTTTGAATGGTTGTTCTTAATTTCATAAAATCTTCGACGACCGTTGTTTCAACATTTGAATCAGAGGATTCTAGATTTCTAATCATTTTTTCATATTTTTGAATCTCATTAAATGTATTCTCGTTACATAATTGAAGTTCTTTATTTGGCAGTTCCTTTTTAACGTTGGTAAATTCTTCCAATAAGGAGGAATGTTGCTTATCAATTTGGATCATTTCATTTCTCAAATCAGTAAGTTTTTCAAAACTATAATCACCATCATTAGATTCATCTATACTGTTCTTATCTAGACAACAATATATTTGAATTTTACTGAAGTTCTTAACCATAATTCTTCCTTGACTTACAAGAGAATCCAATGATTTGATGACAATAGACTTTTTTGGAATGACATTAGATAGGTTTTGAACTATATCATTGGTGCTATAAGGTCTATATTGAGAGTCCAGATATCTCTGAACAATCTCATCGTAATCTAAGGGTATATAAATGTTAGTAAAAATGAATCATTATTTGTATAGATAGTGATCCTAGATAACTAATCCAGTAAAACAAAAAAAAATGCTAACATACCTTCTTGTGTATCTTTTGATTTTGACATATTTTCTACAGTCTAGTTCTTCTAATACTATTATGGTTGTCTTATCTAACTTCACACTTTCTATTAAATGGTATACTAAAATAATCCATCTCCATTTGTATATATTTATTTAAATATATCATCAAGCTAGCCGCCTCGAACAAGAATACTTCAATTACTGTAATAAAAGTAGAAATATCTAAATGTATACCAATTAATATATATATTGGATATCTTTTACTTGTTGAATTGTAAACTAATCAATTCTTTTAAATAAAATATACATATGGTGTCAGTAATTCAAATTTAATGCTTTATTTTGTTTAAAATGAATCTATATAAAACGAACTATGAATAAATTAATAAATACATAATTAATACATTTATATGATTTAGAATGCCTTCGAAATCGATCAATTTCATGAATATGTCTAATATTTCATCTTATATATGACAATTTAGTTGTTTGTAAATGCAAGTCGATATCTAACATGTCAGTGTCTGTTTCAATCTGTTTAACACGGTTATTCTGGTCGTCTACTTCTTCACCAGCTGCAATAGCAAGTTTTTTTAATCTATGACTAACTTGTTGGATAGAATCTAAATTTCTATCGATTTCAACCTCTATTGCATCATCCTCCTCATCATTCTCAAATTGATATTTTTTAGCTCTTTCCAAGATCTCTTTTCTCTTGTACTTCTCTCTTACAGAGCTTTCGTCATTGTTTAGAGATAAGATACCTTCAATTCTTGCTGTAGAAGTAGATAAAACATTGTTGTTATGTTCTTGCATGTATTGTTGTTCCATTTTACGTGATTTCAATTCTTCTTCTCTTTCCATTCTTTTTCTTTTCGAATTGAATGGATTCTTGACATGAACTGCCAATATACTTCTGTTCAAATTTCTCAATTTATCTACATGTTCACCTGCTACTTCAGTTTGAGCCTTCATTATATCTAAATTGGTTTGAATATTGTTTAATTTTTCACTTTGGTGTCCTAACATACCAATTGTATTCATACCTGCTAATTCAGCTTCACGAGCCATTTTTAATGTATTTCTTGTGGAGGCTAAAGAGCTTTGTTTGGTGAATCGTATTTCTTGTTTTATTTCATCAACTTCTTCTTCTTCTTCTTGTTTTTGTCTTTCTTCTTCCTCTCTTTGAATCTCTTCAAATGTTCTAAAGCCTCTATTTTGCTCCATATTAGTACCATAATTATTACTGGCGTCAGCATTAAAATCAGTATACGTATCTAATTGTGCCTGTTCTTCCTCCATAAGTACTTGTTGTGATTGGTATGCATCATTAAAATTAGGTTGAATTGGGGATCTAGTAGTGGTAGGGGCCACGACTATATCAGGTATATTTGAAATATGGTTTTCATTAACTTCATTTAAATCATCCAGCATGTCATATTTATTTCCATTTAAAACGTAGTCCTTAGTTTCATTAATCATGGTGCTTAGATTGTCTTTTATATCACAGGCAGACTCGTTTAAATCCAACTCTGTATCATTGTTATTGATGTTTCCAGTTAATGACGTCTCAATATCTCTTGTTCCATTAGATACTGGGCTAAATTCATTAGATCTGGGCTCTGCATTCAAATCATCGTCTAGATCTTGTTCAGTTGCAATGCTTCTTTTGGACATTGATAGATTACGTTGCATTCTTAAAGGTGACTTTGGAGGAATAGGAGGAATAGGATGTCTTGAAGTAATTGGTTGAGTTGAAATAGGAGCTGGTGAAGGCATAGGGGATTGGATATGAGTTCCAACTGGTGCTTGAGCTGGTGATTGAAAAGATGACTGAGCTGGTGATTGAAAAGATGACTGAGCTGGTGATTGAAATAATGATTGAGCTGGTGATTGGAATGATGATTGAGCTGGGGATTGGAATGATGATTGAGCTGGTGATTGGAATGATGATTGAGCTGGTGATTGGAATGATGATTGAGTTGGTGTGGAAAGATAATGTGTTTGACCTTTCGCCGGTTCATCTAAATTACTTTTAAAGCTTTGAGATCTTCTACTGTAAGGATTGGTTGGATTCACTCCAAAATGTGAAGCTTGCATTCCTGTATATGGATTTTTCTTTGGGCAATGTGGTTGGTGATCTAATTCATTTTTATAGTTCTTTTCATCTCCAGATGAGTATTGCGTATCAGGGGTAGAGACACTGAACCTGTGAGAGAATCCACTTATTGGACTAGAAATTAGATTATCCATTCTAGAAGGAGCTATTCTTTCTGATAATGATTTCTTTAAATTTGGAGCCCCATTGTGTGGTATTCCAGAATTTTCCAATCGATTATTATAGGAGTCGCCAACGTCATTAAATCTGGTAAGACCATCATAAGGACTTGGAGTATTGTAATGGTCTGTACTATTAGCATATGGATCTGATAAAGTAGATCTATGAGTGTAATGATTCTGTGAGTATGGATTACTTTGCGAATCTAAAGAACGTTGGAAATTTGCATAAACGTCATCACTGGGGCTGTTAGGAGTTTGATTTATATTGTAAGGATCATATGGGGCAGAATTTAAATCAACATCATTGGATTCGATATTAGATTGCGATTTATCATGAAATAGTTTTGGTGTTCTGAAGAACTTATTCTTTTTAGTGGTTGGTGAGGTTGATGGTGAGGCATCAGAATCTAAAGGTGACTTATTTAAATCTCCCTCTTCATTCTGTGGGTAGGCATATTGTTCATAACCCTCTGGAGCATAAAATTTATCAAACTCTCTATCTCTAGCATATTGACCATACGCAGTAAAGAGTTCCTTCTTCTTTCTATTAGGATTCTTGGTTGCAATACCAAGTTCCATTAAATTATCTCGATTCTTCTCCTTGGTATCTTCGGGAGGAGGTCTAAACCTGAAAAGTTTCTTTATACCCATATCTTGATAATGACTATTACTAACAAATTTGATAACTCAAGTAATTTATATATATTATTCTAATGACTGTATAGCAGTTAACCTTTAACTAACTAATCGCAATGTTATACCCAGTGCTAAAGGAAATGTCAGCACCTTTGTACAATATCTTAAAAACAAGTAACATTAAGTATCAAGAACGACTGTTTAAGATTAATAAATACAAATACAAATACAAATACAAATTCAAATACAAGATATATATATATATATGACTCTTGAATAAGAAATCAAATTCTAATCATCTCAACGGTTTTTGCATTGATAAATGTCAAGGCTAAATTAAAACTATATACCCTTCTTGGCTTATTGGCCCTGTTCTTCCAATAATCCAAGACCAAAATAACTCAAACGAGCAAGGTACAATACAAAATACCACTCACTCACAGTCTGAAATTCCATTACAATCCAGTATTAAACTGAACTGATTAGAAATTATGGAAAAATGGCCAACAAGTTGAGGTTTACTGGATTCGAATATTTCGAACCTTCCAAAATTTGTAAAGCCTCTCTCTCCTTCCATCGGTGGTCTCTCTTCTTTTAGTCGTTTCTTATCCAAAGTTTCTTCTTATTCTTATTCGAAGACCAGGGGGGCCACTCTGTGTCTTCTTTACTTGATTCGAACATATATAGGATATTTAATAGATAATACACATGCTACATACTATATTCGTCCTATGACGAACGGTTCATTTCCCAAGTAATCAATACTTTGAGTATATTCTATTCTATAAACACATGGTTAACTCTGTGACATGTTCCCGTCCAACCTTTGGTTATGGTTTCTTATATCAAGTAGTTTGGATCAATTCTGTTCTGTCTAGATATATCTCCTGGGCCAGATAATGGATGTGATAGAGGGGGGGGGAGAAAGGAGCAGTGAGAGATGACACACTTGTATAATAAGGATAAGGAAGTGGATTGGTATGGATGTAGCAGTTGTAGTTGTACTTTGTTAGAAATGTCTTGGACATCTCGATAGATAGCTGTTGTATATGTGTAAAAGTGTTTATATAAGATAGAAACTAGATCTTGCACTTCTAGAGAGACTGATATCACCGAGGATGCTTGGCTCACAGTGGATAGCAGTGCTTGATATGCAGGAATGGAGGAATAGAACTAGTTCTTGAGAGTGTATTTGTAGTTCTGATTATAAATAATGTTAATATGTAATGTCACAATGTCATATAATAGTACTCTACTACGGGAGTGAAAGGGGAATTGCTCTTGCAACAGTGAGAGGAAGCCTCTAATTAACCTTAGTTAGGTAAAGTCTTCTTGATGGTAAATAGGGACAAGCTGTAATAATTAATTTTGGATTTAGTTTTGATAATAGAAGTCACCAGCTATATTATCTGTATCTTTTGCTTTTAGTAGGTCTTGATAACGTCTTCTGGTGGTTCCCTGTACTGGTTGATTTTATCGATCGGGTAACTATACGAAGTTAAAGCTCAAGCGTTAGAGCTTTAAATAGATTACGGAATCATATCTATCACAGGCTATATATAGAGGAATTGTCAAAAAAACAGGTATATTGATAAACCTTTTAACAATTGTGACAGCTTCTGTTGAGGTTAGCACTAATAATCATTATTTCTAGAGAATGGCAAGAGGTAATCAAAGAGATTTGGCAAGAGCCAAGAATTTGAAGAAACAAAAGGAACAAGGAAAGAGCCAAAAGAAAGATGGTGATCCAAAGAAGAGAATGGAATCCGATGCAGACATCTTGAGAAAGAAGCAAGAAGCAGCCAATGCTAGAAAGGAAGCTGAGAGCTTGGAGAAGTTGAAAGCTAATAGAGAAAAAAGGTGAGATCAATTATAGATAAATTTTATTTATAGTTAGTTATACAGAGATAGATAGACAGATAGATAGATAAACAATGAACTTTGAAATGTCCCGAACCCGATTCATCACGACCTTTCCTGAATTTCTTGATAGCAAGTATGCATATATATAGTTTACATATACCAATATAAATTTAAACTATACTTCAGGAAGATTACAGTAAAATTGGTTTAAAAGAGATTTATATTTATTAGTTGTTTTCACTAAAACGAGTTATTCTATACATTGAAGTACGATAAAATGCTTTCTTTAACTTGAAAAATATTTCGTTGTGGCTATATACCTTGAACTTACATTATATTACAGTAAATGTTGTTTATCATATACGGTTGTTCTTTGATTTGTTTTGGGATGTGTGTATTTTTGTAGTTTTTGGGACAGTGCTAAATTAATTAAGCTGATGCTGTTTGCATATGTTCCTTAGCTTCAGCAGCTTTTTCTACATCATATTTGAAATCGAAATAAGATTTTTCGAAATGATGTATACGAGCAAAACCATCTTCACCACCGGAGGTATAAGAGGTACCTTGTGGGTTTACAGCAACGTAATTCAAAGGACCGAAATGACCTTTAACTCTACCGATTTCATCTTCGAAAATTTTATGGTAGAATCTGGCTTCGAACTTACCTTCACGAGCACTTGTAGTAGTAACATCTCTAGCCGCTTGACCACCACCTAATATGACAAATTCTTTCAAAGGAGTAATACAAGCACTGTTCAAAGGACAATCAGCTTCGTAGCTTTTCAATTGTTCCATAGACTCAACATCTAGTATGTAAGCCATTGAATCTCTTGAAGAAGTGATGAAATAAGTACGATCAGGAGAAAATTGAATGTCACCAATAGTTTGAGTATGCAATTCGATAGAAGTAATGAATTCACCTGTCTTAGCGTTATATTTACTAACTTTACCATCCTTGTGACAGGCAATGATGTATTTGCCTTCGGCAGACCAACCTGCAACGGTGACACCCTTATGGTTTTCTTGAGTGTTAATAACTAAGATTGGTTCTTCTACAAATTCTTTAATTTCTTTTGTAACAGGGTCTCTTGAAACTTTATAAACGTTGATAGAACCTGGGTATCTCATAACGTCATCCAAAACTGCCAAGATGTAATCACCACAAGGAGAAAATTCGACTCTCTTGATTGGAACAGGGGCAGTCCAAGTGTGAATAACGGTACCAGTTTGAACTTTCCAAACCTTAATAGAATAATCAGCACTACCAGTGACACAGCTTTCAGTGAAAGGATCGACATCGATAGACCAAATAGTACCAGTATGGCCTTCCAAAGTACCTAAACGTTCACCATTAATAGAATACCAAACACTTGCTACACTATCCTTTGAACAAGAAAATACCAAATCACCTTCTTTATTGTATTTAACTTGAGTCAAAGGACGTTCATGCCCCACTAACATAATAGGTCTCATCTTTGCACAACTAGAATAATCGATTAATGAACAATCTCGTCTCGTTCAACGATCTACAATAGAACTATAATACCTTTACCTTTACCTATAAAACAAATAAACCTATATACTTGTCATCATTAGTTTGTATGTCTTTTATATTTAAAGCTTAGTTAACAGTTCAACATGAATATATTGCTGGAAAATTTTTCTGTTTGAAGGTATTTCAAAAAACGGCATATTGAAGGGGAAGGCAGGGTAAAGTATGGAATGTTATTGGTATAGTAGAGTATAGTACGGTATAGTAGTAGTGATGGTATAGTGATGGATATGGGGAGGTATGTGTTTCTTTGGGTTATATTGTAAAGATAATTGCTAGTTGGGGGGGAAGGCGACACATGTTGGGTTATTGTAAGTAGAGTTCTAATTGTTTCTTTCCCAGGTATTGTTTGCGAGGAGGATGGGATATATTGTTCGTATGGTGTGATGTTGGTACAATGTGTTAGATGACAGCAATGGAGTGACAGTGACAGTGGCACATATTCACCTCAATTCCAAACAATGTAACCTTGAATTTGGCAATGGCAATGTGTAGTAGCAATTCTTGTCTTTTGTTAAATGGTTCTGCTTGGTATTTGTTGGTGACAGGTGGTCACATCAAGTACGATCATGTCGTACGAACATTGAGATCAAGATCAAGATCTCTGGTTATATATGGATGCATCGCCAGCTCAACACATATAACAACATAGATATTTAAGTTGTAGATGAGGATTCTTCACTTGCTGGCCCATCTTGTCTTCTTTATTAGTCAATTGAGTGCCAAATATTGTTGTGTATGTGATACTGTACTCTCTAGAAATATAGCTCTGCCTTCCTTTCAAGTTGACTACAGTTATCCGACTTTTCAATTACAAACACCATTTACACTCGGTGCCATTGACCACATCAATGAGGTGTCTTAGGCAAGACCTTGAAAAACGCTCAATGTAAACGGATTGTGACCCAAGGCCAACTATACTGCCATGATCACAAATCCCAAGGTGTCTCTATCAAAGATAAGAACACGGTCAAAGAACAATACCAAAAACACGAGAACAAACAACAACAACAACAACAACAACAACAACAACAACAACAACAACAACAACAACCACGACTACTTCCGCAACAGATAAAATTCCAACAGCAACAGCAGCAGCAACAGCAGCTAAAGAAATCTGGGTTCATTTATATGTACACCTATAAAGAAATGTACGAAGTAATGTTAGAATCTGAGAATCATAACGACAGTAAATTGCAATGGTTGTTCATCGACGAATCTAAAATTTCCAAAGGCAAGGAACTTGAAAACTGGTCAAATAATAGAAATATACTATGTAAGATTGGTATGACAACAAATAAGGTTCCAATCCGATTAAACGCTTGGGAACGTTCGTGCAAACACGAAGTGATCAATCTGACTCCAGAAAATATCCAAACACTATTAGCCAAGCAAACGAAACTAATGCTACAAGCAAAACCAAAACCAACTGTCAAAAACTCAACTTGGCCGATATCAATGAAACAAATGATATCCTTATTTACAAAGATGAAACTAAAGGATTCGAAACCTCAACAACAGATGCGAATACAGTCACCAAGTCCACCAATCCCTCCAAACCTTATTACATACAAAGATGGAGGATTCTTCCACGACAGCAAGAAGGGAACCAAGACACTTCGAGAAGTAGAAGCTAATATTCACAACATCCTATGGGCTAAATACGGTAAAGCATTAACGAACTGTTTTGGATGTGATCCCAACGGTAATAAACATCATACAGAATGGTTCTGTGTTCCAATATCAGAACTGCCCAACGTTCTAAAAACGATAGACTCGATCTGTCACCGTTCTTAAAGGTTCCTGTCATCAAACTCATCCTCATCCTCATCCTCTTTCAAATATCTCCACTGGCAGGATAAGGAAAACTAAACAAGAAATACGTCAATATTCCCCTGGAACCTGAACTCTACAACAAGGTCTACTTCTTCCCATTACAGGAAATACCCTCTCTTATTTTATTCCAACGAACTGTCGTCTCTTTTTTCATTTATTGGCTGACATATCTTGATAGTTTCAACAGTTTCTTGAATATCTGGAGTTATATAAAAGGGGAACGATATGATCATTTTAAAGAAAAAGAGATCTACAAGAAGTTTGAGCATTGCCCTTTATTTCAAAGAATAGAGGTGGATTAGGAACAGATAGATATATCTCTAAAGAGGTGTGGGATATTCTAGAATTCATAGCAAGTTCTAGCAGTTTTAGTAGTGAATATTTTTTTTTTATATTTGTTTAGATATCTAAGTAAAATTTTATTATATATTTTAAGTATATAAGGAATCAAGTTACAACAACGGTCTGGCGTTGGATTATTTTTGTTAAGTTTCTGGTTATCAAGTCTATTATTTTATTTTTTGGGTTTGTAGCAGAGGCATCATCAGTTGATAGAAGTTTCATTTGCAAAGAAGCTTGTTGAAATATCAGATAATTGTTTTCTTTTATTTGCCTGTTAGGATACCTTCAAGATTCAAAAGGGTAATAATAATTGACTAATTAACTAATTGAAAAAAAAAACACTAGGATGACTGCGCAGTCAAAGACTAACGTTCAAGAAAGACGTAGCAGATCATTCAGCTCATTAAAAAAATCAAACATGCAGAACAATAATGGCGTTAGTAATGAGGGAACTGGTACTAATACTAGTATTGCAGCAGCCGGTTTTGGAAATGGGGTCAACCATCACCAATCAACTAACGTTAGCTATCAAGAAGGAATTAACGATGAGTTTAATACTGTACCATTTAATGTTTATAAAAGTAATGGCAAAAATAGTAGATTTTCAAGTTTAAAAGACATGAGCAATAAAAGAACAAATAACGTTGAAATTAACAATAATAATAACAATAATAACATTAATAATAACAATAATAACAATACTAGTAGCAATTTGATGACAGAGATTGAAAATTCTGATATCACAATGAGTTCAGTAGTACATAGTAAGAAAGATCATTTAAGTAATAACAGCTCTATTTTAAGGGAACAACCTCAAACTTTGGAACCAATAAATGAGAATCCAGATGAATATCAACATATTAGAGATAAGTTTGATAAGGTTGATAGTAAATTTACAGAGCATGATATTCAGGATATGTTGTTGAGTTATACGTTTACAAGTGGTCAGATAGATAATAAATTGGATAGTGTAGCAACGTCGTTGGAACGTAAGGGTGGTGAATACCATGGTAAAAATGACACTAGTAATTATACAGATTTTAAGAAGAAAATCAAGGAAATATGGGGGAATTTATTATTTGTTGTACTTGAAGAAATTGAAAAATTTCAAAATACAGCATATGAATATTTTTGTTTATCATTATTACAAATATCAATTTGGTTTCCTAGAATAGTTGGGATGTTGAGGTATGTATTTCATATATGTTTTTTCCATGTTTTTTAATTTTATTAATCAAGAAACTATTATTAAGATCAGTGGTACTAACAATTGGAATCTCTATTCGAAATTTGATAAATGAATGAATAAATAAATAAATAAATAAATAAAATGAATTGGGATTGGAATTCTGAAATGAAGTTAGAGAAACAAATTAGAGAAACAAATTCCAGATTAATTCAAAGCTAAGATGAGATAACAATCACAAATATCAAGAAATTGAAGTTAGTATACTTCTAGATGAATATAATCAGAGATATGTATAAATATATGTGTGTGTCAGAGAGAGAGTATGTGGATGAGTAAGTGAGTGTTATGTATTTGCATTTTTATTTTTATTTTTATTTGTATTTGTATTATACAAACTAGTGTAGTTGATATGATGAGAAGAGATGAGATGAGATGAGATATTCTATAACAGTTGTTATATTAGATCAAAAGCAAAAGCAAAAGCAAAAACAAAAAAAATACGAGAATTATGACATTGGTGTGTCATGTGAGTGTCAGCGGAATGAAACACGAAAATATCAAATCTGGGGTGAGACGAGATGAGGTGGGGATTGTTAGGGGATGATGGGATGATGGGATCTCTTGGGTGTTTGTGTTTCTGCTGTTTTTACCCTTTTCCGTCAGAGGTGATGTGAAGTTATACATCCTAAAGAAGAAGAAGAAGAAGAAGAAGAAGAAGAAGAAGAAGAAGAGGAAAAAGAAACAAAATGATCGGAGTTTTTCCTTTTTTTTACCCTTTTTTTGTGGTTTTTGTGGTTTTTGTGGTCAAAATCCCAATAATGTGTGTGGCCCTTCTTTTTTGTGGTAAAAGGACACAAAAATCGTTGAATACCAAATGGAGTATACGGGAAAAGGAAGATGGAAAAGTATAAAAAGGGTGACTGGATCTGAATAAATGGAGATGACTTTCAATCCACAGATCTCATTCTGTTTTGTTTTGCTTTGTTTTGCTTTGTTTTGTATTCTTTTTAATTATTGGGAACTATTTAGTGGGGAATTTGACGTGTCTCTCTATCTGTTCTGTAAATATTGAGTCTGTGAAAGGAAAGGAAAGGAAGCTCAGATAGATTAATTGAACAAAAATTAACGACAACACCTCTATCAAGCATTTCTAAAATAAAAATTACATTTTTGGTTATCGGAGGAGAGTTGGACATACTTCATCATATTACATTATATTATTTTGTATAGATTTTGCATTTACTACATATATATATACATATACGTACACTCACACTCACATTCACACTCAAACGCATATACACATATATATTTATATATACATATATAAACACTAGTTAGTTGTCCTGGGGTTTCTTTTATTGTCCTTAGAAAGATTCATCAGTTTCCACATATTATTGTGATTCATTGATTGATTATTTGGTTGTCTATTCAGTGGGGTTCTTTCAGTTAATCTGTGGAGTTTTGTTTATACTTTCATTGTCATTGTCATTGTCATTGTCATTTTAGTTTTGGTTTTCATTTTCATTTTCATCTTCATCTTCATTTTGGGTTCAATTCAGATTCATTAATTTATCTATCTATTTATTTATTTTGAATTTCTCATTTGGAACTATTATTATAGCGATATAGTTGGAGAAGACGTATACTCTGGTGTAAGTAATATTGCTTCAAATCATATCATCCCATCATTTTTATTTGGTGGCAAATTAATCAAGCAATCTTATACTGGTCTAAATCAAAGGTTTAACGACAAACCTTTACAAACTCTTTTTGTTATATCTTTTACTTTTGGTATATTTTCACCGATTATTATTTTCATTTCAATGATTGTCTCATTCTCAACTGTTTATTTCTTCATTTACCTTTTATTATTCGTTTCAATCGGCCTGACCTCTTCTTTGTTCATCGTACCTCTGCTAGGCGCCTCGTTTGCATTCGCTAGCGGTGTGGTCATCTTTGGATTTCTAAGTAATGTAACTTTTAAATCCGCTCAAACTATTTACATCAAGGTCGATAAAAGATTAAAATTTATTCTAGCTAAAATGTCAAGTTTTACTAATGGTAATGAAAGTGAAAAAAATGTCGATGTACCGTTATTACAACAGACTAAAAAAAGACATAGTCAAATTCAATCAAAATTGAAAAATTCGTTCAATACAAATATCAATAATAACAATTTAACTAACAATGATAATATAGTAACAAGCACTACAAGAGGTATCGATGTGCCCTTAGATACAAATAATAGCGTTACAAGCGCAATTGCAAGATCTTTAGAGACTCGTGCCGATTCAAAAATCGCAACTAATTAACTTATTAATTTACTGTCTCATATTATTTTTTATCTTTATTTGTTTGTTACAATAATTGTTATTATTTACCCCATCATCATCCATTACAATCCAAATTTTATTAACAATCAATTACCTCTATTTTCTAATATTCCTTTTGATGATAATGATCAATATTTTAAACTATGAGGACCAAGTATATGTACTCTTAGTTTCGCATATATATAGCTATTAATGACCGCAATGAATTATTATATTTTATTAAAGAATATTTCCCCTCCTCCCAACTCCCCACTCCCCCAAGACCAAAACCTTTCCTTTAATTTGATTTATTTAAAATAAGATACAAGAAGAATAAAGACTGGTGTTAAGAATACTCTTAATCCTGATACCATTTACCATACATCCCATATCGCCCATGTTAGAGCTTTGCGATTTAACCATTACGTTATATGAACGTATATGACAGTATGTGAGTATACAAGCCTCAGCATGTGAATATACAACCTCAGAAAAAATTATATTACTAATCAATCCAACTCAATTTCATCCATTCCATTTCATACCATACCTTCTCTACACAGCTAATCGAACCCAATGAAAAAAATACAGAACATCTAAATTCTTTCTAGCCCTAAAGGGGTCTTCTAGAATTTTCGATGATATTTTTTTGTTTTATTTCAGCTTCGATTAAAGTTCAATACAATAATACTTCACTGCTCACTCGACCTTCGTTTCTCCCGCATTACCTTCTAAATGTCTATCGCAAGAAGAAGTAAAATTGATTAGAAAGAAAAATAACAACATTTTGGAAAATGTGTGAAGAAAGACGCAATTTTATTTTGTTTTTTTTATTTCCATGGGTATTGAGTTTCAGTGAATACCTTAACCGTATCATGGAATTAACCAGGCAGTCGATTAATAATACAATTGAACTTTGAAAAAATAAATGTGGGATATTTAAAGGTACTACTCGAATTAACCAATTGAATAGACTAATTGGAGTGATACTCATTGTTACAATTTATTAGATATCAATAAAATATCCATTGATTGGTATAGATATTTGAATAATAATAAAATAAATACAATGGTTGCTCATAATTCGGTTACCTATATTAACCGTACTACCCCTTTGACCATCACTTCTGAAGAAATTGATTTGGATAGATGTTACAAAGATAGTGAAATCGTAGTTGAAGTCCATGCAGCTGCTTTAAACCCAATTGATATCTTATTGCATGCCTTGAGTTACCCATCAATTTCTGGTCGTAAGAAAAAGGTTTTAGGTAAAGATTATTCTGGTGTAGTTGTTAAAGCCGGTAAGTCAGTTAAAGGATTTAAAGTCGGTGATTTGGTCAATGGTATGTACGAAGATTTTTTATATAGAGCAAGAGGTTCTGTTTCAAATTATTTGATTTTAGATCCTTCTAAGCAACTATCAATTGCTCACTTTAAGAAATTAGAAGGGCAAACTGATGACGATGCTTTTATTCAAAATGCTGGTTGGCCTTTGATTTTTGGTACCGCTCATACTCTGTTAACTGAAAAGAAACAGAATTTAGGTCCTGATTCAAAAGTTCTAGTATTGGGTGCATCCACTTCTGTAGGTAATGCATTATTGAAAATTGCAAAGAATGAATTGAAAATCGGCACTGTTGTAGGTACTTGTTCTGAGGGTTCTATCCAATACAATAAAGAAACAGTAGGTTTTGATCATTTGGTTCCTTATAATGATACAAGTAAATCAGCTGCACAACATATTAGAGATTATGTTAAGAATGAGTTGCATGGAGAAAAATTTGACTTAATCGCTGATTGTTGTGGTTCTAATGAATTCTTCCCATTCATAAATGAAATTATGAAATCAAAAACTAAAAATGGTCACTATTTGACTATCGTTGGTGATAACAAATTTAACTACAGAAAGATCGAATTGTTAAAAGCAATTAACATTTGTGGTTTAATTAGAAGATTTAACCCTTTCAAAAATTATAATTACTCTTTTACAATGGTCCCAAGTGCTTCTGACTACATGGAATTAGGTGCTAAAATGATCCAAAAGGGTACTTACAAACCACAAATCGACTCCGTTTATGATTTCGAACAATATCAGGATGCTGTCGAAAGATTGTTATCTAACAGAGCTAAGGGTAAGATTGTTATTAAGGTCAAATAATCTTGATATCTGTCAATATTAGCAAATTATATTATGAAATATTATTTATTCGTTTATTTGTAGGACTGGTTATATTCTTTTATTCTTATATATATATATAATTTAATGAAACAAGAAAAATATTCATATTTAAATATTTATTTATTTCTTGACTACTTTTATGACATTATGAGTTTCATTATTTGTATTGGTAACGATTTCAAATTCTTTAATTCTATCATTATAAGATTCCGTGATACTTCTGCCCTTTAAGTCGTGTCTATTAAACAAATTGGATTTGCAATTGGTTAGTGATGGGAAAAATTCTGTTCTATAAACCTTACCTTCAGGCGTCGCATCGATTTTAGCATCTTGTACCTTCTTAGATAATCTAGGTTCTACAAATTTTTGATTTATTTCTGATATCATTGCACTATGGATAATTGATTCGTCATTTATCCTTGATTCGTATCCTTCAAATACCACGTACTTAAATATAAATTGATGTAATATAACCGCAATTGATGTTGTAAATGAAACATCTGACAATATCAAAAATACTAGACATGTAGGAGAAAATGAGCAGAATAATGAGGTTAAGAACTTTGATGGTGACCATTTTTTTAACTGATAATAGTAATCTTTTTCATTTACATTTGGAGTTTTTTGTTTCACAGTGGTAATTTCATCTTCTAAGTCATCTTTCTTTCTAAAATTACGAATATAATAGGACAACATTGTCCAGTATGAACCATAAGAAACGTTTTCCATATATGACTGATCCAGATCAGTTCGTGAACATTTTGTAACATTTTTGGAGTTTGGTCGATCAACGACGTATAATAATGAATAAGTTTTGAAATTTCTCCAAATGAAAGTCCAGGAAATATATGCATTTGTTGAAAGAATTAAAATCATTAAAAATAAAAGCAATTTGTCGAAGTAAAACATAAAAGTCTTCTTTTTAATATACTTAGCATTTTGTAAATTTTTAGTTTTAGAGACTTCCACAAATCGTATTAAAAATGGGAATTCCTGCAATGTAGTTGACTTGCTTAGATCAAATGCTTCTGTAGATACGTAGACATCCTTATAATTAGATAGCAGCGTGTCTTGTAATAATCTGATAATATAAAATAATGCAGTTAAACAATTTCCCACAGGTTCGGCAATCGATTTGCATTTCATATCCCAATCAATAGCCATCAAATGTTCGCCCAAATGCATTTGCAAATCAGAGAAATAGGCCATCATCTCGTAGTACAATGACTTAAACATGTTCATAGAATCAATATCAATTTCATAATCCCCATCATCTGTATAGTGGTCCCGCTCATCGATCTGATTCTCATCGTCTAAACCATTCATAGAGTAATCAAGCAAAGTTAGATTAAACTACCCAAAACCAAACAGCTCAGCCTCAGTTTTATAACTGGATTCGCAAGTATTGGAACGCACAAGTATCCTGAATATCGAACTCCTTTGTAGATGTACTATCAAAAGCTTTAAAGTATTCAAATTATTGGAATTTAAAGGTTTTGGTTCAATTTAAATCTCTTATTCTTAAAGTTCGTATATAAAGACCTTCTTATTGGAACTTATCAGCAGATTGAACTTCAATGCTTCATCGATGTCCTTTGAAGATCTATCATCGTCTTTTTCCATTAGAACAATTGAACTTGAGTTCTCTAATATATCTAAATCTGGGATCACCTTCCCACCTATAGGAATCTTGATGAATTCATGCTCTTCATGAAACAATTCATGAGTGACGCTGTCAAAAATGTTAAACCTGAATCTACAAGTTCTGGATTCAGACTGTGGGATAAATCGAATAAATACTTTAGTCTTTGTCATTGAGGTTATCTTAATCTTTTTTCTAGTTGATTTAGATGACCATGAAGATTCTAACGAATTTTGAAATGGCATTTCACCATACTCTGTGTACACTTGTTTCAATTCGATTGTTTTAGAAACGTCATTAGAATTGTTATCAATTGGGTTGGAGAATAATGCATTTAATGAGAAATTGTCACATATTGATCTTTGATAAGTTGAGCATACGATTTTGTATAGTTTGTTGCTGAACAAAGGAACAAATTCCTTTGAATATCTTTGATGCTCATAATGACTATCTGGCATAATTGGCTTTATTAATTCATAATCATCATATGCGTATACCTGAAAGTTCAACAAATTATTTGGGTTCCCAGATAATAATTGGATATTAATGAACTTTTGAGTATTTTCATTGGAATTGATCAATAACTGAAATGTTGGATTTAGATAATAGTTATTGTATAGTTTGTTTAATCTTCCAACATCTGTTGCAGTAAGCTCATATTGGATTTGACTTCTCAATAGACTATTGGAGAACTTTTTGACTGTAATATGTTTGGATATTGAACGTATGTGCAATGTCAAGGTGGCATTATTTGATGAATGACAGAAAAATTTCTTGTCAGAATTTGGCGGAATTTCTAGTTTAATTAGTTGTAGACCAACATTATAAGCACCAATAGGTGGTTCGATGATATAATTTAGAATGTTTTCGGGTATCTCTTGTAAATATGAGATAGTTTCTGTTGAATCCTCATTGCCAGCTGTCAGGTGGTTTTCCAGTAGTATCCATGCTGTTTCAGTTGTGGAACTCCTGTTTTCTACTTTGAATAATGGTTTATCAAATATAGTCATGAATTGATTACAGGAATCACTCTTATATACAAAGGTCAATGACTGGTTATATTTAAATAACTTAGAGGTATCCCAATTTAAATATAACTGTTGAAAATATGTCTGGAAATCATTCTCATCAATTTCAATACGACTATTTCTATCTAGAGGATCTCTCAAGAATAGACGCCTAGAATTTTTATCAATATCAACCACTGGATAATCATGGTTTTTAATCAGATTCTTTTCATTTTTCCCTAAGTCACTACCGGTACCAAGGGCAAGTAAACATACCTCTGAATTAAAATATTTAATAATAGTGTCTATTGAATACATTTGAAGGTTAGCAATCTCTGGGAAATAACCTGTTAATCTAGATGTATCTATAGCTGTATTTGAACCTTTGGTCCCATAAGATCCTGTAAATGTCAGCAAATAGGCAGCCTCTGCGATTTTTGACCTCCAATTATCACTGGATATAGACAACTGCTTACCTTCTTTGGTAGAAGGTATCTTACTGATATCTACAGACACCAATCTATTTAATGAGCCATTGAAGAACATATTCAAATGATAAATGTTGTCGTTGACCTGTTTAATCTTGGGTAATTCGATATCTCTCATTGAAATATTGATTAAAGAAGAGACTAAAGAACAATCCTCTATATCGTGACATTGTTCGACGGATCCTTCATTATCTGGAGTCAACATCTCTCGTTCAGTATATTTCGATGCAACTTCTAGATCTACCAATGGACAAACCAGTTCATTAGACCAGCAAATTGGGCCCGCAACATCTACATCTAAAGGAGGATAGAAGCAATTACCTATTCTTGAAGTTAACCACAGCAATTTTTGTTTGGCTGACAAATTCTTGAAATCATCATTTAACGTCTCTATGGCAGTTTTAAAACTAGAATCATCACACAACTGCGATTTAGTTCCCAATAACTTCAGCGAATCTTCAATCCATTTATTAGACTTTCCTAAGTATATTTCAGACCTTAACTTATTAATTAATTCCCAATCTTCTAACCTCATCGCTAACTTTACCTCTCAATCTCAATCAATATCCTTCAAATTTAAACCCAATTTCAAGACACTACAAAAACCAATGCATCAGAATACAGATTTAGATCCAAATATATAAGCAAACTATCAATTAATCACTTCTATCGTTGTCTTCCAATCAACATCAGTGAAAAGGCATCTCTTTAGTTAGAGATCGATATGAGATTATTTTTATATAAGTTCGTTATATAATAAATTCTGATATTTAAAGGTTCTTTAGTTTAAATATTGAAACTTTTTAGAAACAAAGAACTAACCCTTCAAGACAAGCTGAAATTGGTTATAAAAGGGTCAGGTTAAGGTAAAACTCGTCTGTTCAGTTTGTTGTTGTTGTTGCTATTATTGTTTTGGGACTTGTCCATTCAAATAGTTCGTAATTTTGGGCTGCAGGAGAAAGATAAATACTTGAGCAACAGTCACTTTTTTGGTTGAATTGGATTGGATTAAAGGTACCTTAGATCAGCTAAGACTTCTCTAATGAATTTATTTCGTCAATTAATTGAAAATAATGAGACAATAGGTTCTCAAATTCCAGGTTCCTTTAACGAAGATATTGCTGCTGGAGGAGCAAGAGCAGGAGGGGCTAATGATTCAAATAGATTACAAGGTGAGGATCCTGGAAATGATAATCAACGAAGAAGTTCTTTTATTGGCATATTTGTTAGGATTCCTATTGCTATCCTGTATTATTTCTTTAAGATTCTGATTGAATTGGTGACATTTTTGAAACCATTGCATATTTTGAGTGGATTTTATCAGAAGAAACATAAGAGATTACTTGATCGTAATACCAGCATGAGTTATCTATTGGAAAAGATTAGTAATGAGTCGGAGGTTAATAGACACCCTGTGGCTAGTAATGTTGAGAACAATGTTACTTATAATTTTGGATCCATATATAACTTGGATAATAATTCTTCGTTATCCTCGTTAATAGTTCAAGATGGCTATACAGAATTATTAGAAATGTGTACAGAACAGTGTAAATTTGCTGTGATTTATCTTCATGATCATTTACTGTCGAACAGTACCCAATATATAAATCAGATAATGTGCACTGAACAATTTATTTCAACTATAAAAAATTACCAATGCTTAACCTGGTTTGGTGATGTGACTACTTCCGAAGGTTTACAAGTAGCTAATGCATTGAAAGTGAAAGAATTCCCCTTCTTGGGGGTACTGTCATTGAATGGTTCTTCAAAAGTTGAACTTATCTTCAGATTAGAAGGTTATATTGAAAATTATGATAATAATGTGCTAAATGCTATATTAGCCAAGGAAAACCCGAAATTAATACAATTAAGGCAGCAGAAACAGAACTTAGAATTACAAAGAATTATCAGAGAGCAACAAGATTATAGATATCAGGAATCTCTGAGACGAGATCAGGAAGCTGCACTAGCCAGACAACAAAGTTTAGATAATGAAGCCAGACAACAAACAAGAGAAGTGCAAAGAAAAAAATGGTTACTATGGAGAAAGAATGAGCTAAGGCCAGAACCAACTACAAATACAAATGTATGTAGGGTAGCAATAAGATTGCCAAATGGTGATAGAATTGTCAGAAAGTTTAATTCTGATTTGGGAATTGAAGAAATATACGCATTTGTTGAGTTGTATCAAAGTGATTTCCTGGGAAGTTCGCATGAAACGACTTTGAGTTCTCCACCGGTTGGATATGAACATCATTATGGATTTGCTTTGTGGTCTGCTGCACCTAGAAAAGAACTACAACTCACCACTCGTATACTAGAAGAGAATAGTATTTATCCATCCGGTAATATTGTTGTAGAAAATATAGACTGATGACTATGTTGGATTTGTCGTAATACACTGTTCAAAAGTAGTCCAAATCCATTCATTAACCGTATATGAATATGAATATGGAGAGTGCTGTATAATGAGGTATAAACTATTTTACATGCTTGATCAGACAAGATTCATAAAGTTTCGATGTTAAATACTTGTAGGGTAAGACATTTTGATTAAAACTGTAATGGAATTTTATTACACATTCTATTATATTAGCATTTCTATATATAATTTTAGGTATACATACGTACATATATATATGTATATCATAGATACATTTCTGATGTTTCATATCAAATGAAAACAGGCGTCGTATCATTATATGAACAAATAGTAAAAACAAAAGTAAAAGTTAATATACATTAATATCAATATCCAGTTATTTAGAAGATATTAGTAAGATTAAGCATATGTGGTTCTTTCAACTCTGGTAATACGAGCACCATTTTGTTTCATTAATCTTCTAACTTCTGCTGGTCTCAAAGGATTACCTTGGTCATCGACAAAGCTCTTATTTTCAGCATCTTCATCTAGCAAATCATCGAATTCCTTTAGTCTTTCATCAATGGCAGGATCACTTCTTGGGTTCCAGCCAGCTGTTGGACCAGTTGTTAACACCCTTTCCATACTTGCGATACTACCACCATCTTCCATCATAATTCTTCTTACTTCTTCTGGATCTATAACATTACCATGTTGATCTAGGAAATTCATTGGACCACCTTGTTTTAGAATTTGATCTAGTTCTCTAACTCTTTGTTTAGCCAACTTCTTTTCCTTCTCATCCATTGGAGGTCTGTCAACAACCTCACCGACACCGTGTTCGACAACTTCGGTGGTATAATATTGCTGTTGACCTTGTTGTGGTGGTTGACCTTGTTGCTGTGGTTGACCTTGTTGCTGTGGTTGACCTTGTTGTGGTGGTTGACCTTGTTGTGGTGGTTGACCTTGTTGCTGTGGTTGACCTTGTTGTGGTGGTTGACCTTGTTGCTGCTGTTGTTGGTATTGCTGTTTATAATTCTTTAATTCTTGGTTAACACCGTTGTTTGTAGCAAAACCACCACCAGTCTGGCCTCTACCCTTGGTAACCTGTTTAGAACCAATGATACTAGCACCTTCTTGTTGCATCAATCTTCTGACTTCTTCTGGGCTCAATACATTACCATTTTGATCAACAAATTGTTTGTCCATACCGTTGTTCATAATATCTTCAAAATTCTCACTAACTGGTTTAACATCTTGACCATATTGAGGTTGGGCATACTGTTGTTGTTGTTGTTGTTGCTGGTGTTGGCCTTGAGCATATTGTTGTTGTTGCTGTGGTGGTGGTGCGCCTTGGTCTCTTTGGTAGTTTTGGTAAGCTTGGTTATAACCCTGTTGATTAGCGTTGTAATCTCCAGTTTGACCTTTGGCCTTTTGAACTTGTTTGGAACCAATGATACTAGCACCTTCTTGTTGCATCAATCTTCTGACTTCCTCTGGGCTCAAAGTATTACCATTTTGATCAACAAATTGTTTTTGCAAACCATTATTCATGATAGCTTCGAAATCATCACTAACTGGTTCCATGCCTTGAGAATATTGACCTTGGGCATATTGTTGTTGCTGTTGTTGGCCTTGAGCATATTGTTGTTGTTGCTGTGGTGGTGGTGCGCCTTGGTCTCTTTCGTAGTTTTGGTAAGCTTGGTTATAACCTTGTTGATTAGCATTGTAATCTCCAGTATGACCTCTACCCTTTTGAACCTGTTGGGAACCAATGATACTAGCACCTTCTTGTTGCATCAATCTTTTGACTTCTTCTGGGCTCAATACGTTACCATTTTGATCAACAAATTTTTTCTCCATGCCATTGTTCATAATATCATCAAAGTTTTCATTAACTGGTTGAACATCTTGAGGATATTGACCATATGGTCCACCAGGTTGGCCGTCAAGTTGTTGTTGTTGTCCTTCCATTGGAATATTACCCAAAGTGTTTGGAGTGATGGTATAGTTTTCATATGAAGCATAATCTTCTAAGTAGGCTGGACATGGATAATCCCAGCCATCTAACCATTGAGATTTTTTACATAAATCAACAGTCCATTCAGTACCATAGATAATTGGACTGTGAGACTTGTAGAATTGATAACATGTGGCAAAAAAAGCGACAACAATTATATAACCAACATTTCTTTTGTTTTTGAAAATGTAGGATACGACAATATCCAAAGCGTGAGCAAAAGCCAAAATACCGAAATAATAAGCAGGTAAGTAATGATGTAAAAACATTTGACGAACCATTAAAAATGATGGAATATAATGAGCTAAGAAACCGAATAAGTAATAGATTACTTGAACATGGAAATTAACAACACTTGGATCAGTTGGAACTGGACCACCTAATTGCCAAGAAGCTAATTCGATGATACAAGTCAATGCAAAAATGGCAATGAATAAAGAAACAGCCCACCATAAGATAGCATTACCTAACATGTATACTTGTCTATGGTGACCGTGCCAGTAACCTAAACCACGACTTAAGAATGGCCATTGATCTGGGAAAGATTCGAATGGATGTGGAGCAGTTAAATCTTTGTTGACATCCCACATTTGTTTGTGCATTTCGACAAATTTTTTCCAGAAAGTGGCAGGAACGTAAGATACTAGTTCAGCGTCATCTGGTAAAGTTGGGTTTTCGTTGGATTCAATGGACCAAAGTGTTAAATGATCTACACCAGATGCCGCACATGTGACTTCTTGTTGTTCATAACCCCATTCTGGATAACGAACAGGGTGTGAGAACAATAAACAACCGGTCATAGCGTGTCTTAATCTAAACTTAGTTTCAATAGCTCTTACATGTTCTTGGGCTTCACCAGGAGCTGAAGCTTTCTTGTCAATTTCAATAATCCAGTCATCGTTTGGATCACCTTCGAAACTGTCATCACCATAACAGGAGACTTCTTTTTGCCAATCACTAAACTCAGAAACAGGAGCCTTGTGATCGTGAGAATGTAATCTACGTCTAGAGTTGTAGTGTTTGATTCTGATTTTAGTATTATCAGTTAAGTTTTTGAAAGAAGTGACAATAGTGTTTGGTTCATCATATAATTCGATTAACCACAAGTTGTTAGCATCAGCATGACCGTACAAACTAACTTGTTGTTGTTGTGAACCAGTAGGGTATGGATGGTCGTGAGAGTGCAAGTAGCCACCTTGGGTACCTAAATGACGGAAACTAACCAAAGATCCTACACCGACTTCAGCAGTAATATTTTCAGGGACTCTATTACCGATTAAAGAAGCTTGGAATTCAGAAGACATCATACCAGCACCTTCGGTGAAATGATCTAATCTGTCCAAATGGATGGCGAAGAAGATGACATATAAGATAGTTGGTACGATCAATAAGAAAGTGAATTTGAATGCAGCGGTCTTGACGATAGTACAGGACTTTTGTTTCAAATCACCAATCATGAACCATAATCTAAAGATACAAACGACGCCGACCCAAGCGACAGTGAATAGACCTACCCATTTGGAAGAGGCAGCCAAACCTAATGAAACACCAGTTAACAATAAGTAAGCCAAGCTCTTCTTTGAATTAGTCTTGTATAATTCGTATCTCTTGAATGCAAAAGTAGTCAAAGCAATGAAGAAGATTAATGGGGCATCTAATAAGATGTAACGAGAAATGGTGACGAAGGAATTCTCTACAGCAAAACATAGAGAAGATAGGATTGCTATCCAAATTCTGACACCTGAAGCACGTAAAGTGAAATACATTAGCAAAACAGTCAAAGTACCTGAAGAAGCGGCGAATAATCTCATTATATAGTAAGGTGTTGTGTCAGGGAAGTCGATACCAATGTTTTCGAATTTGAAATCACCTTTGAAGCCAGCTAGAGCACCGACTAAAGCGAATAACATCTTAGCCAAAGGAGGATGGACATCGAAGAAGAATTCTCTTTTAATATATTTGGCAGCAAACCCACCGAAATGTACTTCATCGAATACAACAGAGTTTGGCCATTCCAAATTTTGGCATCTTATGGAGACAGTGAATAAAGTTAAGCAGATGATTAGGAACCATTCCCTCCAAGTAGTGGAGGTTCTTAAAGTTGAGACGTCATCTGGGGTTTCAAAAGAGACGTATTGTCTTACAGGACCCTTTTCAGTGATGAAATGACCTTCAGTCTCTGAATGGATAGTGGGAGACACTGCAGTGGGAGTGTCCTTCTTAACTTTTGACATATCAGTTGTATGTGTATTATCTTTATAATTGGGATAAAAGTTAAAAAGGGATTTATAATAGTAGTTGGATATGAAAGGGATGTAGGAAAGTAGAGATGATGGAAAATGTGAGTGTGTTGAAGTTGTGTATTGGGAGTAGGAGCAGAATAGAGATTATTAAAATGATTATTATCTGTCTAGGAAGAGTGAAGAGGAAGAGAGATGGAAGAAATCGGTATCGAGAGAGATTGGTAGGTATACGCAAAGTAATATATATATAGTTAAACTTTTATAATTAGGTTGAAGTGCATTTACATTTATATATATATACATAAAAGTGGTAATAGTGTAGATTCTTGAGATTGAGATGTTCTCAACGAGTTCAGGTATAATTTTTCAATATCAAGCAAGAGAGAGAGGTATAGAGAGAAATAGGCCATACGTGTAAGAAACAAAGTGAAAAATTTATAGAAGAGCAGAGAAAGGTTTAAAAGAAAAGAACCAGAAGGATGGGAATGGTCCATTGGCAAGGGTACGTATGGTATGGGGGGAGAGTGGGAAAGTGGGAAAGTAGCAAAGTTACCAGTAACTGACTGTAACGCTATAATGCCAGATTGAGTAGAGAAAGAGAGCTGCTTATAAGCAGTCAAGTGGGTTCATCTCTTGTAGTAGCAGTTGGAAGTGAAAAAAAAAAAATTTTATTATGTAGATGTAGATGTAGATGTAGATGTTGGTTGGACTAAGGTTGTTGCAGCGAGTGAATGAGTGTTGATACAAGAAAGCTGCTGGGTCCCTGCTTGTTTTGAGGTCCTGCTGGGGACGTGTGTGTTCATGAAGATGAAGCAACAATTTTAACGGTGGATTGGGCAGAATAATGGATGGGATGGGATGGGATGGACTGACTGCTATTGAACCCTGGCCTGTGAGTCTGTGTGTGTGAAGGTAGTTGACACGTCAGACGGGTATTGTATTGTGTTGCATGCGTGTCGAGTGAGATGGGATGGTAAAAATGCCTTTGGTTCTGGTCACATGACTTGTAGTGTTGCATTGGAGAGAGGGTAATAGTGCTCTTGATTATATTGTTGATCACGTGGTTGGTTTTTTTATTTCCGCATTTATCTTTACTATACACGTGACTGGGTGTTGGTATGTTACCCTGCGCATCACTCCACACGTCTCTTGATGGTTTTTTTGCCCATTGGTCTCTCTCTCTCTCTATCAAATCTTGAACTTTAAAGGATTTTAAAGGTGGCAAAATATATACATACATATATATACATACTTACTTACTTACTCAAGTTATATTAATTCTATCAACACACTCAACCACAGGATCAATTACCGGCTAATCACAGAACACCCACGTAGAGATGTCAGCCGTCACTGAAGGTTTGCAACATGCAAGAGAATTGGTAAAACAAAAAAAATATCAAGATGCTGAAACTATCTATTTAAATCTATTGAACTCAAACAAATCTTTGGATACAGACAACAGCATTAAATTAGACTCGGTAAGAAACGAATTGGAATCAGTGATCCTGGAATTGGGTGACATCTACTCCGTCACCCACCAAAAGGAAAAATTAAGAGAATTCATACCAAATTCAACTGAATACATGTCAATTTTGGCAAAATCAAAAACTGCAAAAGTATTGAAAACTCTAATTGAAAAATTTGAAAAAGTACCAGACTCATTGGACGATCAAATTTACGTTTGTGAGAAATCTATAGAGTTCGCAGAAAAGGAAAAAAGAGTCTTCTTAAAACATTCACTAGCTGTGAAATTAGCAAATTATTATTATTTAAAGACAAATTATAAGAAATCTTTAGATCTGATCAACAGCTTATTGACAGAATTCAAGAAATTGGATGATAAACCTTCTCTAGTAGATGTTCATCTATTGGAATCAAAAGTTTACCATAAGTTGAGAAACTTGGCAAAGGCAAAGGCAGCTTTGACAGCTTCTAGAACCGCAGCAAATTCAATCTATTGTCCTACTGTAACAATGGCTGAATTGGATTTGATGAGTGGTATATTGCACTGTGAAGATAAAGATTATAAAACCGCATACTCTTATTTCTTCGAGAGTTTCGAAAGTTTCCACAATTTATCCACACATGATTCCTACGAAAAGGCTTGTCAATTATTAAAATATATGTTACTATCAAAAATTATGCTGAATCTAATAGACGAAGTAAACACAATCCTAAACGCAAAATACACCAAAGAAACTTATCAATCTCGTGGTATAGACGCGATGAAGGCTATTGCAGAAGCTTATAATAATAGATCCCTATTGGAATTTAATACCGCCATAAAGAATTATAACAAGGAGCTGATGACAGATGAACTAACAAGATCCCATTTTAATGCATTATATGACACTTTATTAGAATCAAATTTGTGTAAAATTATTGAACCATTTGAATGTGTGGAAATTTCTCATATTTCAAAAATGATAGGGTTGGAAGCCGAGCAAGTAGAAGGTAAATTATCTCAAATGATTTTAGATAAAATCTTTTATGGTGTCTTGGATCAAGGTAATGGTTGGTTATACGTTTACGCAACTCCAAACAAAGATGCCACTTATGATTCTGCATTAGAATTGACTACAGAATTAAATAAAGTAGTTGATCAATTATTTGAAAAAGCTAGCGTATTGTACTAGCTCTACCTATTCAAATCTATCTTAATTAAATATTACATTACATTTCACCTTCCCCTCCCCCTCCAAAAAACTTCTCATCAAATTATTTAAAAGAGAATCGTCATTAAATAAAACCTTTATATAATTTACATATTATGCACAGTATTTATGTCTATAAATATTGACAATAATATTGACAATAATATTAACAATAATAATAGTAATTTGGATATCAATAAACCACCTCAGATAAATATCTCCTCTGGTAATTTAAACTCGACCTCGAGGTTGGCAGCAAATACTTTATCTGAATCACTGAAATCATTCTTTCTACCACCTGCATCTCCACAGTAATATTTCCAATTGTACTTGATAATATCAGTCTCTTCACTTTTGAATTCACTCATAAATTCATTAAACATCCCAATTCTTGGCTTCCTCATTTCATCAAATACTTCAGGTGTTATTGATCCAACACCATTGGCAACTGTCGCTGGTTTAATTCCAAATGGTTTACTGACTTTGCTGTTCTTCTTGACGTCCACTACAGATTTGGATTGAGATCCCTTCTTGGTAGAACCAAATAAAGAAGCAGGCTTCTTAGTAGATGCATAAATCCATACTTTGCTCAAAAGCATTTCACCTTCAGGCAGAGTGCCTATGGCTTTAAGTATATTTTCAATCTTGGTGACAAATTTAACACAGCTCTTGGAGGTATTGGGTAGTGAAATGACACCACCCTGATTGGAAAATATCAAAATTTGAGCATCAACATCTTCTTTAACAATCTCAATTAACTTGTCTATGGTCTTGGTACCTTCATTGAAACTTATAAACTCCCAATCATCAGCATTTCGACTAAACCTGCTATTGGTACCTTTAGGTTTGATGATGGTATGATCCAGGTCGAATCCATAAAGATTCTGCTGCTTCCCAAATGAAGGTCTCTTGGGAGTGAATTTTATGACATGAGGTAGGATATGTCTCTTATGAGATAACATTAAGTATACTGGTAAATGATGGTTTGAATAGTCCTTTGTTTGTTATTTGACATCTTATAACTCACTTTTTGATTAGATTTAAGCACTATAAGAAATGTTTAATATCGCGATGACCTTCTTAAAAGAATGTTGATAATTGAATTTATTATAAAGTCACACAGTCTTAAGCTTTAAGATGAGAAGGATAATGTTGAGGAAGTTGGTATATTTGGAAGGTATTGGCTAGTTGTAAGGGTTATTGCTGTGTTTTGTTGTTTGTTCTAGTGCTGTTGAAATTGGATATGTCGAATTTTGGGAGAAGAACCTGGGATAGAGAAGAGTATGCTCGATTAGCTCGAGAAGGGAATGATAATTCAGAAGAAGAGAAGCTGAGGCTGTCATTGACAGATGAGCAACTTGAGCAATTGAAATCTATGTATTCTGATCATGATTCTCTGTTGAAGTCTGGCTTAGATGATTTGAATAAGAAAGTTTTGGCTACCGGTGTGACTTCATATAAAAAGGGTAAACAATTTGGGTTCTATTGTAAATTATGTAATATGACTTTTAAAGATAATTTACAATATATTGATCATTTGAATCATAAGATCCATCAGATAAAGTTTGAGGCCATCTTTGATGAACCTTTGATTCTTGACATTAGAGATAATGATGAAATTGGGATCGAAGAATTTGCAACGACTTATAAGAGGTTAATAAAGGGTTTCATCAAAGACAATGGAATCAGTAAACAAAAAGTCAACAAGAAATCAAAACCTATCAAAAAAGTTAAATTAGGAAACTCTTCTGAGGATGCAGAGCTTCACAAGAAAATGGGGTTTTCATCCTTTGGTGGTGGTGTCTAATATATTTGCCTTATTGACATTTCCTATTGCATTGCATTGTACAGCATGTTTCGTATCTGTATTATTATTATTATTGTTATTCAAAACATTGGTTAAACAATTGAACTACATCTGTCATTAAATATCATTAGAGTGGAATTTATTTTCAAGTTAATATATTGTATTATTAATATTATTTATTTCTTTATTTATCTTTTAATTTTAATCTTACTAAAATTCTACAATTGGACCTGATCCAATACTTCTCCATGTAGTCATATTGATGTTCCAATCGTGCCATTTGCTTAGACTTGAACGATCAAAAGTTGGACTAGTGGCATTGACTTGTTTATGAACAGGAGTGGAAGCTTGGTTACTAAATGTGGAGAATTGAAGTTGTGAAGGAGTGTTATTTAATGGTGGTTTTGGTGTCGAGTTGGCAATAGATAATTTATTTTCAGTCTCTTGCAAAGCTAATTTAGTGGATTGCAATTCTGATTGTGAAGATGACAATTGATTTTTCAATTCTGTAATTTCGTCTTGTAATTCTTCTATTATTGTCTCTTGATCTAATTTTGTAAACTTTAATTTCTTTATTTCTGCTTGTGATTCTTCTAGTTGTTTTTTTAATTGATCAAGTTCTTGGTCCACTTGTTTACTTCTTATGGTTTCCATAAAGTCAGTATCATTGTCGAATAATTCGTTATTGTTTGACTCGACAGTTGGTTCTTGCTTTTCTTCCTCTTGGACTGATTTCACTTGTTCTTCTTCTTTTGATGCTTCTTCCACTTGCCCTTCCTCCACTTGCCCTTCCTCCACTTGCTCTTCCTCCTTTGAAGCTTCCTCCTCTTGGTCTACTTCCTCTAGAACTTCCTCCTTTGAGGCTACTTCCTCTTCAACTATGTCCTCTGGAGTAGCTTCCTCCACTGGTGCCACTTCAGTTGTACCATCAGTCTCAAGGTCTGATTTACTAGATTTATCCTCCTCTACCTCATCACCACCCTTCTTCTTCTTGCCCTTCTTCTTTTGCTTCTTCTTCAACTCTTGAACCCTCTTTCTAGCCTCTTCCAGCTGTTTAGCTCTCTTATCCTCTTCATCTGACATCTCTCAATTACACCAAAAATTCAATTAATCAACGATACAGCCTATACACTCCAAATAGACCCTTACTCAAACTGTCCAAGTCCAAAAACACAACAACAACCTCTCTTAAACTCATCAACTAATCTTCACTTTCGAAATTGATTTAGTCTTTATAGTCCCAAATCCCAATTTTTCATATCTTAATTAAACGATCCATTTCAAAGAAATTTGACCAAACTGAAAAATTTATAACAACAAATAACGACAACAAACCACTTTGAATCGGTTAAGACAATCATATCCAAGGGTATATATATATCTATAGACTGTCTAGTGCTATTGTAGTATTATAAGTTCTAATCAATTCCAATTTGAACCAAAGTGAGAGCAAGGAATTTCCTTTAGATTCTATTGATTAATTAAAAATTCTTTTGATAAACTAATTATAATGGATTTAACAGTCGATCCAAATTTACATTCTTTGATTAATTCTACTACTCACAGATGGATTTTTGTCGGTGGTAAAGGTGGTGTTGGTAAGACTACTTCATCATGTTCGATTGCTATCCAGATGGCCTTGTCTCAACCTTCGAAGCAATTCTTATTGATTTCAACAGATCCTGCTCATAACTTGAGTGATGCATTTGGTGAAAAGTTTGGTAAGGATGCTAGAAAGGTTACTGGTATGGACAATTTGTCATGTATGGAAATTGATCCATCTGCTGCCTTGAACGATATGAATGACATGGCAGTTTCTCGTGCTAATGAAAATGGCAATGGTGGTGATGGCTTGTCTGATATATTACAAGGTGGTGCTTTAGCTGATTTGACAGGTTCAATTCCAGGTATTGATGAAGCTTTGTCATTCATGGAAGTTATGAAACACATCAAAAACCAAGAAAATGGTGAAGGTGACCGTTATGACACTGTTATCTTTGATACTGCTCCAACTGGTCACACTTTGAGATTTTTACAATTGCCAAATACTTTATCTAAACTATTAGAAAAATTTGGTGAGATTACTGGTAAATTGGGTCCAATGTTAAATTCTTTGGCAGGTGCTGGTAACGTAGATATTAGTGGTAAACTAAATGAATTGAAGGAAAATGTTGAAAAAATTAGACAACAATTTACTGATCCTGATTTAACTACATTTGTTTGTGTTTGTATTAGTGAATTCTTATCATTATATGAAACTGAAAGATTGATCCAAGAATTGATCTCATATGATATGGATGTAAACTCTATTATTGTTAATCAATTGCTATTTGCAGAATATGACGCCGAACACAACTGTAAGAGATGCCAAGCCAGATGGAAGATGCAAAAGAAATATTTGGATCAAATAGATGAATTGTACGAAGACTTCCATGTCGTCAAGATGCCATTGTGTGCTGGTGAAATCAGAGGTTTGAACAACTTGAAAAAATTCTCAGCTTTCTTAAACAAAGAATATGATCCTGTAGCAGATGGTAAAGTCATTTACGAATTGGAAGAAAAAAATTGATTGATTCATTGATTAATTGATTAATTGATTTGTTCAAGCAATCAATCAATCAGTCAATATATGCAGTAGATAAATTTACCAGGAATAAAATATTATATAGTAATTAAGTAATACAATTGCAAAATGGATAAAAATTATATATTGATTTTATTAGTTGATTGGTGTGTGATAACGGCGACAGCAGGCATATCCAGTGGTACTTGAACCTATTGTTGATAGTTGGTGAATGTATTTAAAATGACAAGGCATATTGGTTGGGAATTGGAGGAGAATCTTAAAAAGAAGGTATGGAAAAAAATTAAAATGTGCTCCAGGGGAGGTTCGAACTCTCGACCTTCAGATTATGAGACTGACGCTCTTCCGACTGAGCTACTGAAGCTGTTTAATTGCAATGTTTTCATACAGCTTGAATTACCACACAGAACAGTAACTATTTTGATAACTTTCTGCCCAAACTCTACTAACATCATGATCAGCTATACCACATTTACAATACTAAACCACTCTCTTCGTGACCACAGCGCCTATCAAAGAGAAACACTTTAGTATCTACCTCATCCAGAGACCATCCCACACTCATTCAAAAGTTACCCGTACTAAAGGACAAAACAGTGGCAACTTTTCCACCAAACTCAAAAAATATCATCCAGGAAGAGCTTAAAAGAACAATCAAACTCACCAATCAATCAATGAAATAGCATTAAATCAAAAGGATCAAGAGCTCAGATTGGACGTTGCAGTAATCATTTAGGATTCTATTTCGTGGATTAGATTGTTGCGTGTAACTTTTGTTTATTTATTTTTTTTTGCTGGCTTTGAAATTGATATTCAAGTTCTCTAATATTCACTTTTTATTTTAAATTACTATTTAAAAGTGATCAATAGAATATAGCAAACTATAGCAGAAGAGAGTATAATATAGGGATATAGGATAATACTAGTCAAGAGATGTCTTTGAAATTACCACAGAATCCTAATGCTGGATTGTTTAAGCAAGGCTACTCTAGTTATTCTAATGCCGATGGTCAAATTAATAAATCTATCAGTGCTATTCGTGAAATTCACCAAATGTGTTTAACTTCAATGGGTCCATGTGGTAGAAATAAAATTATTGTTAATCATCTAGGTAAAATTATTGTTACTAATGATGCTGCCACCATGTTAAGAGAATTAGATATTGTTCACCCTGCTGTTAAAGTTTTAGTAATGGCTACTGAACAACAAAAAATTGATATGGGTGATGGTACCAATTTAGTAATGGTTTTAGCTGGTGAATTGCTAAATGTTTCTGAAAAACTATTAAATTTGGGTCTTTCCGCAGTTGAAATTATTCAAGGTTATAACATGGCTAAGAATTTTACTTTAAAAGAATTGGATGAATTAGTTGTCGATGAAATTATTAATAAAAACGATCAGACCGATCTATTGAAAGTTATCAAGCCTGTCATTGCTTCAAAGCAATACGGTTCTGAAGATATTTTAAGTCAATTGGTTTCTGATGCAGTTTCTCATGTCTTACCAAAAAATGTACCAGAAGGTAAAGTACCATTCTTTAACGTCGATTCTATAAGAGTAGTTAAAATAATGGGTGGTTCTTTATCAAACTCGTATGTCGTTAAAGGTATGGTCTTTAACCGTGAACCGGAAGGTAGTGTCAAGTCTTTGCCAGAAGGTAAAAAACACAAGGTTGCTGTATTCACTTGTCCATTGGATATCGCAAACACTGAAACTAAAGGTACTGTGTTGTTACATAATGCTCAAGAAATGTTAGATTTCTCTAAAGGTGAAGAAAAACAAATCGATTCCATGATGAAGGAAATCGCCGACATGGGTGTCACTTGTGTTATTGCAGGTGCTGGTGTTGGTGAATTGGCTTTACACTATTTGAATAGATATGGTATCTTAGTATTAAAAGTACCAAGTAAGTTTGAATTAAGAAGAATTTGTCGTGTTTGTGGTGCCACTCCATTACCAAGATTAGGTGCTCCAACTCCCGAAGAAATTGGTTTTATCGAAACTGTCAAGACTCAAGAAATCGGTAGCGACAGAGTAACTATTTTCCAACAAGAATCCGATGAAGTAACAAGAACTGCAACTATCGTTTTAAGAGGTGCTACACAAAACAATTTGGATGACATAGAAAGAGCCATTGATGACGGTGTTTCCGCCATTAAAGGTTTGATGAAGCCAAATGGTGGTAAATTGTTACCAGGTGCAGGTGCTACTGAAATTGAATTAGTCTCAAGAATTACTAAATATGGTGAAAGAACTCCAGGTTTATTGCAATTGGCCATTAAACAATTTGCCTTGGCATTCGAAGTCATTCCACGTATATTGGCAGAAACAGCAGGTTTGGACGTTAACGAAGTATTGCCAAACCTATATACCTCGCATACTGTTAACGCCGGTGACGAAAGTTCCAAAGATCATCTATTCAAAGGTATCGATCTTGATAACGAAACAGCAGACGGTGTAAAGGATGTCAGAGATGAAGGTATTTACGATATGCTTGCTGCCAAGAAATTCGCCATCAACGTCGCCACAGAAGCTGCTACCACAGTGCTGTCCGTAGATCAAATTATCATGGCCAAGAGAGCTGGTGGTCCAGCCCCACCTCAAGGCCCAAGACCAGGTAACTGGGACCAAGAAGATTGAAATCAACCAAGATAGAAACAAACAAACAAAACAAAAACAAAATGAAATAGAAGATATATATATATTAAAACTCAAAGAACCTTCACAGTCTACCTAAACAGTCATAGATTACCTGAATAATATCATTTATGTAACATATAGATCTCAATAGAATCGTAATATCTCCATCTCTCTCTTTTATATATATAGATGTCTTTAAATTTAGTCATGTGACTTGGTTTTGTATCATTAACAACGGATTTCCTAAGAAATTCAAAATTTTTCACTTTTAAGATGAGATGAGATGAGATGGGCTTAACAGGCTCTTATCTACTAATGAAGAGACTATTAAAAACTTTGATTAGTAGATTCTGGAATCATTTAAGTGGCTCTATTATCTCTCACTTTTAGTTTTATAACATAGGAGGAGAAAATAACAAGAAAAACTGTTTAATAGATATGGCTAAACCAAGAGGTAGAAAGCTTTTAAAGAAGCAACAAAAAGATCAATTCGAACCTTCTAATGATGTTGAAAAGTTTGAAGATGATAGAGATCATCAAGAGAACGTCTATCAAGGTGATGCTGCTGATTCTGAGAAATCATCTGATCCCCAAATGTTCTTCGGTGTCCTAGATAGAGAGGAATTAGAATATTTTAAACAAATTGAATCTACTTTAGCTATGGATACTTTTGAATCATCTGAAGAAAAATCCCAAATGGTCACTAATGTCTTACAAGAAGCTAAAGGTAAAGAATTGAAGTTGGTAACCTCTCAAATCTGTTCTAAATTGATGGAAAGAATTATCTTAGAATGTGATGATATGCAATTGAAAAGTGTCTTCAAAGCATTCAATGGGTTCTTCTACAATTTATCATGTCATAAATATGCTTCTCATGTTTTAGAAACTTTATTTGTCAGAAGTGCAGCACTACTGGAAAAGGAATTATTAACCCCAACGTTTGATAATGAGACTAGTAATGAAGATGGTGAAGTTTTTGGTACTATGGAAAACATGTTTTTATTCATGTTAAATGAACTAAAACCTCATCTAAAATCAATGGTTTCACACCAATATGCATCTCATTCTTTAAGATTATTGATATTGATCCTATCTTCTAAAATGTTACCAAGCTCAACTAAAAACAATTCAACCTTACGTTCTAAAAAATCTAAGATTGCTCGTAAAATGATCGATATTAAAGATAATGATGACTTTAATAAGGTGTATCAAACTCCTGAATCTTTTAAATTGGAACTTCGTGAAATGTTGACATCTTTATATAAACAATACACTCATAATGCCGACTCACGTTCAGATATTAGTCCAACTGATATCACTAAGTTTAGAGAATTGTGTGTCGACAAGGTTGCGTCACCAGTTATTCAATTAATTATCCAAATTGAAGGTATCTTTGATAGAGATCGTGCATACTGGAGATTGGTATTTAATACTAATGATGAAAAGGATCCTAAAGAAGAAGCCTTTGTCGAATATTTACTATCTGATTCTGTCGGTTCTCATTTCTTGGAAAATGTTATCGCCTCAGCAAGATTAAAATACGTTGAAAGACTTTATCACTTATATATGAAAGACCGTATTGTCAAATTGGCTAAAAGAGATACCACTGGTGCTTTTGTTGTTCAAGCATTTTTAAAACACATGAAAGAAAAAGATGTGAAACAGATTTTGGATGATATTATTCCAGAGTTAAGTATCCTATTGAATTCAAACATGGATTTTGGTACATCTATTATTAATGCAAGCAATAGACTTGGTTGTTATTTGAAAGACGAAGTTGTGAACCAACTAATCAAGAAGTATTACCCAGAAGAATCAGAAAATAAGAACATTTTAGAAAGCTGTTTGTTATTAAGCTCTTCAACTTTAGGTAACACAAGAGACGATTGGCCAACTGCTGATGAAAGAAGAAGATCTATTTTCTTGGAGCAACTAGTTAACTATGATGATCAATTCTTGACTATCACCATCGACAGTATGTTAAATCTACCAGAAGAAAGATTTTTACAAATGTGTTACCATGGTGTTTTTTCTCATGTTGTTGAAAGTGTGTTACAAACCAAAAGAGTTGATACCATAAAGAGAAGATTGCTTCTAAATGTACTATCGAAAGATATTGTTAATATGTCTTGTAACGCCTATGGTTCTCATATTGCTGACAAACTTTGGGAATTTACTGCTAAATTAACAGTATACAAAGAAAGAATAGCACAAGCATTGGTTGATGAAACTGAAAAGGTTAAGAACAGTACATATGGTAGACAAGTCTGGAAAAATTGGAGTTTAGAATTGTATGTTAGAAAAAGATGGGACTGGAAGAAATTAATTAAGGAACAAGAACATGAATTATTCCCAAATGCTGTTAAACCACAACCAAAAAATCAACAATTTAAGAATAATGGCAATGATAATAAACGTTCTAGTGATTCTAACTATTCATCATCATCAAACTTCAAGAAGCAAAGACGTTAAGTAAAACTGTACAGAAGATAAAAATTAAAGAAGACAATAGTTATAGCATCATCAAGTGTACAATATAATAAATTCAAGATAAATGTAGAAAAAGCATATAATTTATTTAGTTTTAATAATTTGAACAATTGCATTATATTTTTTTATAAACGTTATATTTTTTCTAATTGTACCGTTGGTTATATACTTGTAATCGGAGACTCAACAAGTCTGACAAGAAAAGGAATATCTAATTACCTTTTTTTATATATTTTCTTTCCATATTGAAATGTTTATTAAAGTTACCAAACATCAGTCCCTCTTCTTGAACGTAACCCTAAGTATCTTGCAACATCATTGAAAACATCATCCAATTGATCCCTTTTGTAATGAGAAATTTGTTTTTCAATATCTTCATCAGGGATATCACTTATATGGAAACTTTCAACTTTACCTTCCAAGAATTTTTCAAATTCTTCTTCCTCTTGCGAGCTAGGTGGTACTAATTCATAGAATTTGGCAACTTTAAATAATTTAATATCTGAAATATCTTCAAAATCCTTTAAAGTCTTTGGGAATAACCCATCTTCTGCAAATAAAATTTCGGAATCAGCATTTGGAATAGGTGCGACAATATCACTTGGGTCAGATTTATGAGAATTGACTATTCTCCTGATAGATCTATCTTCAATAGTATCCAACTGACCCTGCAATTCAGCAACTAATTGCACTAAATCTTCGTTAGTTGCATAATCACTGCTGGTCAAATGAGTGGCCTTCTTATTACTTTTTGGTTCCCCAAAACTTGCTACATCAGCCTTCTGTTGAGTAATTTGCAGCTCTAACAAGTTCTGACCGGTTTTTGAAATTAAAAGATTTTGTTTCTTAACGACTTCACTCAACTTATCGACTTCTTTTCTCAATTGTTCTAATTCGGACGACATCTTAACGTATATAAATATGTGTATATATTCTCAAAAGTATCTTATTTCTCAATAAAATTTAAATCCTACCAAACTTCCTTTTTGTATCTGAGTTAGATCTTCTTGACTAACAAAATTTTTTAACCCTTTAAAATTCTAGAGATTCAACGTAACCTTCTCAAGTAAACTGAATCCCGTAGAGTTCGACAATCTTGTATCTATCAACCTATAAAACTAATCAATTGACTTGAAAGATACAACTGTATCCTTGTCAATGATGTATTACTTTTAAACTGCTTGACCCTTTGATGATGGATCTCTCGATTTTGTTTCAACTTTTTGATATCAAACTTTCCGTTTACACACGGACCCCTTCTGCTCAATTTAGTCACGTGGGGGTACACGTGGTTTACGTATTATATGACTGTTTATGTCACGTGATTTGTTATGCCGCAGTCTGCATTATATGGGTTAGGTCATGTGACCGCCTGTTTGTATGGAATATGACTTTGGAACTCTATCTCTCTATCTATCTCTCTCTATAAATGCAGACTTTGAAGACTGTTGGCAGCAGCATTGACCATATTTTCACGTTTTCTTCTCATAGAAAGCTTACCTTTACTGGCTTCATCAGCAGCAGCTTTCAATCTGTCTCTTTCGCTATCTTTCTTTGCTAATTTACGACCACCACTTTCCAATTCATAATTGTCAAGGAAATCATCTAATAACGATTCGAAATCTGCTCTTTCTTCCTTCATATCAAAAGGTGTATAGTTTTCTTCTTCATCTATTTCTTGCTCTTCTTCGTAGTTATCGTAGCTGTTGATGATGGTATCGTATTTATCATCTAATACTGTCATGACTTCAGTACGAGCAATGGCACTGGAACTCATAGAGAATCCAGATATGTCGGACATGGCACCTTTCTTCCTACGTTCCTTTCTCTTTTTGTTACCTTTGGTTTGGGTCTTGATGGTAGGTAGGTCACCCAATACATCTTCTTCTTCTTCGTCTTCGTTTTCCAATTCGCCAGCAAGATCGTCTTCTAAGGGTTCGATACTTTCCAAATCATCTTGTGAGAAATCATCATCAGTATCGTATTCCTTTCTGGCTCTAGCCTTCTCCCTTTGGAATCTTCTGACATCGGCTTGGTAGTCGATGCCTTGTAGGTCCTCTAGATTTTCGATATTATCTAATTTCTCAATCTCATCTCTATAGTGCTCGTCTTCGTAATCTTGCAAGTTGTCAACGTCCCATTCATCGAACTCATCTTCAAATTCATCTTCATCGGCAGCTTCACCACCTCCTAATAATTCAGCAAAAAAATCATCATCTCCTTCCAATTCTTCTGTATTCTCAACTTTAGCTTCCTTCGACTTCTTAACTTTACTTTTGTCATCAACGACCACTTCAATATCTTCGTTAATAACGTATGCTTCGTCTTCCAATGCCTCTAATACTTCTCTTAAGGCAGGGTTCAAATCAGGTCTAAACCCACTGATATCATTTGAGATTTCTTCCTGATGTTTTAAGTATTCTGCGGTCGCCATACCCCTTTGAAATAGAGGAGCTGATGCTTGTGGTTTGGCTTCATCTCTATAACTTGGCTCCACAAATAAATCTTCGATATTCTTCTTCTTTTGAAGCTTCTCATTTTCATCATCAACAGCATTACTCTTTACAGGAATGAAGACAGAGTTTTCAGGATCTAAACCAATAGGTTTCAAGTGCTGGGTATAATCGTATTTAGAGTCATCGAAAGTAATACCGTATAGTGCAGATTCACCAGCGTGTGCATTGGCTGCGTCTCTATTTGCAGAAGATTTTGGCTTTTCAAATCTAGGAGTTGGAGCCTTTTTAGAACGTTCATTTGGGTTATTAATAGGCACCAAAATATGATCAGATGCTTCTGCATCGTAAAATCTAGGATCATCATGAGGTCTATGAACCACTGCGTATTTCTGTGAATTCTTTTTATCAAATTTTTTAGACATTGCTCAACTACTTAATTTTAAACGTATGAATACTCAAAAAGAATAAACCAAAATAAGCACTTCCTTCTTAACACTATAATATACTATTCTACTACTTATATAAACAATCAATTAACAACAACAACAAGAATCCAAACCTAACAATCATCAATTTAAACTACCATTCCTCTTTATCATCCATCAATGCTCATCTCATCTCATCTCATCGCATCAAAATTTTTCACTCATTAGCAACGGTTTCTCTTTTCATAATGAGATGAAAAAGTGTATAAAATAATCGATGCCATCGTTATAACATATACCATCATGATTGATTAAACTTATGATTCAATAGTGGGTATAATACGGTTCGAGGTCGTATTGTGGTTTGAATTGGAGGGTCAATTCTGTATTTTAAAGTTTGGTGTCTTTTTAAATTGTTCCTGTGATGTTTATGTTGACCAAGATCAAAGATTTAGTGAGGATTCCTCCAGATCAATTTCACAGAGATTCTGCATCTTCTATAACTCATCAATTGAATAATAAGTTTGCCAATAAGGTTATACCTCATGTCGGGTTATGTATTACTGTGTATGATCTTCTCGAGGTTGATGAGGGTCAATTGAAGCCTGGGGATGGTTCTTCTTATATCTATGTGACGTTTAGGGCAGTGGTATTTAAGCCATTTGTTGGTGAGATAGTAACAGGTTGGATAACCAAGTGTACAGCAGAAGGTATTAAAGTATCGCTATCTGGTATGATGGATGATATTTTCATTCCAAAGAATATGTTGTTTGAAGGTTGTTTTTATTCTGTGAGTGAAAATGCTTGGGTTTGGCCGATGGATGAGGAGACAAAGTTATATTTTGATATTAATGAAAAGATTAGATTTAGAATTGAACAGGAAATATTTGTAGATGTGAAGCCAAAATCTCCAAAAGAACGTGAACTTGAAGAGCAGGCTGCTGCTGCTGCTGCTGCCGCCGCTAATGTCAGTTCTAATGCTGGTGCTTCTCAAAATGAACAAGAAAAGACTGTGGTTGAAAAACCTCCTGCATATGCCCTTTTGGGTTCTTGTCAAACTGATGGTATGGGTTTAGTAAGTTGGTGGGAATAGAATAGAATAGAATAGACTAAGACTAAACCAGAGTAGAATGGAGAAGTTTAATCTATTAATCAGAAGTTTGAACAGAATAAGATCATCATATTTACGTCTTGTCATGTTCTTACTAACATGCATGTGTTTATATATAATATATATATAATATCTTTAATTAATTGTATATAAATGCTCAAATTTATATAATCTAATTGTATTGCATATAACGTGAGGTTGAACTGAATTTTTTGTAACCATTAATGACCTTATCCACAGCTTTTAAGAAATCTTTTTCTGTTGCCACTTTCCTTCTTGCTCTAATGGCAAACATACCAGCTTCTGTACATACAGATCTTAATTCTGCACCTGTAGAGTTTGGACATAATCTTGAGATTAATTCCCATCTAATGCCACGTTCTACACTCATGGCTTTTGTATGAATACGGAATATATTAGCACGGCCTTCAAGATCTGGTAAAGAGAATTCGACTTTACGATCAATTCTACCAGGTCTTAATAATGCAGGATCTAATGTATTTGGTCTATTTGTTGCAAACATAACTTTAATGTTACCTCTTGGATCAAACCCATCTAACTGAGTAATTAATTCCAACATAGTTCTTTGGACTTCATTATCACCACCGGCACCATCATCAAAACGAGCTCCACCAATTGCATCGACTTCATCAAAAAATATAATACATGCTTTCTTTGTACGTGCCATTTCAAATAATTCTCTAACCATACGAGCACCTTCACCAACATATTTTTGTACTAATTCAGAACCAATAACTCTGATAAAAGTGGCATCAGTTCTATTCGCAACTGCACGCGCACATAAGGTCTTACCTGTACCTGGAGGTCCATATAATAGGATACCCTTTGGTGGGTCAATACCTAATGTAGCGAATCTTTCTGGGGATAGTAGTGGTAATTCGACAACTTCTCTTAATTTCTCAATTTGTTCTTTACAACCACCGACATCTGTATATGTGACATCTGGTTTTTCTTCGACTGTCATCATTGTGACAGAAGGATCAATTCTTGGTGGCAATGGCAATTCTATGTGATATTTTGATCTGTCTACACCAACTCTCATACCTTCTTCAATATCAGTTGGTGAAACACGTTCACCTAATCCAACAACGAATTTTGCTATTTGTTTTAAGTTAATCACATATTTTGCCTCTTCATCATCATCTGCATCATTTGCTGATGCAGATTCACCATTTTCTCCATTGCCATTATCGTTTTCACCTTCAGTTGAGCTACTCTTTTTAATAATTTTAGTACAACGAGCAACCTGAAGTGGATGTTCCTCACTCAGTCTTTGTCTATCACCCATTATATCCCATAAATGCGATGGCGCTAAACCAGTATCACTTTCCTTAACACCAGCCTTCTCCTTTATCCTAAGTTCTATGTCTTTCAAATCCTTTTCTGTTTCTTTCAACTTAGATGCATAAGGAGCAGCACCATAGGTCTTTAAAACTTGAATATCACTCTCTGTCAAAGGTGTGATCTTTTCATCCTTTGAAACATCCTCATTTTCCTTACCCTCTAATGGGGCCTTGTATTTCTCCCAATCTTCCTTTGGTGGCATTTCTTAATCTCTTTATTATTTAATGATTTTTTCTATTAGTGTTAGTTTGCTCCTCTGATTGGATCTCTGCTATCTTTATATCACCAAAATACAACAGACAATTAAAGGATACCCGCCAGTAATATTCAATTTCAAATCACAGCAGCCTCAAATTGTGTGATGTTCACCTCTAATCTTTATCTTGAATGAACTGTAACACTATTAAAACTTATTGGTTATTTAAAAGATCCTTTAAATATTTTAACAATCGGTGGCAAAATTTATTTAAGGCTTTTGGAAAATTATTGGTAGAGTGCGGGTAACATTTTCAGAAGTGTCAGTAAATTGGTGACAGTAATTATATAAGGTGTGAGGTTCCTATACAAACAGTACTTAATATTACAGTTATAATCATTTAAATAGACGAATATTGTCCTGAGTATGTTTTATAATATTATAGTGTTTGTATATTGTGTTGATTACTACTTTAAATTGGCATTTTTCATTCCTATTTTATCAATCTTACTGAAAAACTATATATGTGTGTGTGTAATTTAATAAAATGAACTGTTTAAGTAGTGTAAAAAGTGTCTTCTTGATTTGAGATATGGGAAATTATGTGGGGAATTGATGGATAGATTTATACGAGAAATAAAGTAATTTAATAGACACTTCTGAGATCATTACATATTTCTATATTGCCATTGTTCGAACATCCAATTAATTGTTTCAGGTTTTGATCTTTTTAATCTCTCCGGATCAAAATGGAAGCATAGCCCAACTTCTTCAAAAGAAGGAGCATTCTTGGACCAATGATATATTTTAGGTCTTATCTCTCCTGATTTACAGAGCACTTCACCTTCTGGAATCTCGATTTCCTGAAATTCGTTAGTTATTGTTATGGGAGAGGAAGACGGAGTCGTGGCTACTAGTGTTTCGACTTCATCTTTATCCAGTTCAGTTAGAGAATCTATAGCAAATTCTTTCGTATCTTTCCATTTTCTAAATAAGCGCTTGTTCTCATTGTGGTTATTCCATCGAAATTTATAGCCCAGCTTATGGACATAATCTATCATGTGAATACGGAATCTATTACGTCTTGTTGTTTGAGAAACTGTTGGCATAATGTATTTAATTTAGCAGAATTTATTGGTGGTTTTATAGCAATGATTTAGCAACTGTGTAGTTTAAAAGGTTGATGTCCGTTCAGAAATCTATTTAACTTAACAGTAATCCTTTTGTGGGTTTTTAATGTCTAACCGTTTGATATCCTTTAACTACTAAATATTTTACTATTAAACTTTAAATCTATCAGTTTAGGCATGGTAAGTTGTTAAATATTCAAATGTATTTCAGTCTATGTATAAGTTTTTTTTTTCATCGATGCACTACTGGTTGACGACACAAATGGTTGAAAGTTTACCTAAACCTCATTTCTTGCTTTTCCTTTGTGTCCTTTATAATTACTGTTAGTTAAATTTGGAGAATATTATTGTTCTTTGTTGCTTTTATAGATATACTTTGAATATTTAAATAACAGTTTATTATAATTAACTATTTGTTTTCTAATTTACCACCTAAAATGAAAAATCATTTTCATATATACATAAATATTAAAAACTAAACATTAAAAACACAATAATTTTTATTCAAAGTTCTATTTCTACAATACAGTATTCAAAACCAAATCTATCTGCATAGTTATATTTACTGAGTCTATATATATATGAATGTTTTTTCTATGTAGTTATCTCAATTCTATACTTGAATAAAGAAAGAGTTGCCAGCTAAGTTAAACTGACGCAGCACCGAACTACCTACTGTTTCAAATATTTGAATATAATATACCAAAACCTAAGAAGGAAATCTCAAAGTTATCTTCAAAGTCATTTCAGTATATTATTCTCCCCAATGCTTCATAGGTAAATGATATTTACAAAAAATGCCCAATTGGAATTTCTCATGTTATCCAAAGCTTGATTGTCTGACATGATGTATAGATTAAAATTGTAAAACCAAAAATGATCATACATGAATCTACAATTAGATGAAGGTTAGTTACAGTCCCATTTCTTTTCAATGCTTTAATGTGTAATAATGGAGGGTAGATATAAATTAAAGGTATACAAGCAAAAGATCCAACCAAAGAAACAAACTTATCCAGATCATCGGCACCAATCCATGCAATGAACGATGTACCAATAACCACGAGTGTACGGAAATAATTCTTTGCCCATTTGATCTTTGGGTTATACTTTCCTGAATACCTTGACTTAAATACCCAATTCTCCAGAATTCTGATGGCAGGGAATAATTGCAATGGTGTTGATAATAAAATTGCTAAAGAATATAATAATTGCACTATCAGCGTATAAGGACTGTCCTGAGGGAAATTTAGTAGCACTACTGTTTCAACATCTGAACCAAATGCAGAATAACACAGAAGACCAACAGAAACAAAAATCAATGTAACTATAACCATGACTAGAGATAACGATAATCTAAACAAGTGTGGCTTTGCCATAGATTCTTGAATTGGAATCAGTAGTCCAATTCCTTCAAATGTGAAGATTGCAGTACCAATAAACAATGACCAACTCTTGTTGTTGAAGGGAACCATAGTACCCCTAGCAATACCATTATATGAAATATACGATATTGGATAATAATAAATGTACAGCAGACCTATTAGAATAAAAAAATCGGCGATCAAAGCTGTAGCTGTTAATTTAGTAATGTTTCTTGTAAATGAAAGGGGAATAAATAATATTGCTTGAAATATGATGAAGAACTTTATCGAAGAATCCAAATTTTCGAATACTGAATTACACAATGTCTTGAGGTTGGTTGCTACAAATACTGTGTATGCAGCGGAAAACCCAATTTGAGATAAAACGATTGATAGTAGGATGGCAAATTTCATTGGCCTACCAAATAGATGTTGTCCCAAATCACCATAACCATTTATGCCATGAGTTGTATCTTTTGTTGATATCAACAAAACAAAACAGTAATAAGAGATTACCGAGCACAGAAGAAGTGAAATTGTACTAAATGAATAGCCACCATTGCTAAAACCCTTTGGCAAAAAAAGTATACCTGTTCCTACAAATGACTTAAGCAGTAGTAAAATTGCCTTTGTAGTAGAAACCTTCTTGCTCTTATCGACAGGGGCAGCTTGTGTTCTAGTTGTATCTGGAATTGGACGGCGACGAAGTAGAGACGTCTGCACTTCTTCCTCTTCTTCTTCTATTGCTTCTTCTTCCTCATCTGTTTCTGATAAGTCTTCACCAGCAAAATGACCATAAAGAGTTAAAAATTCTTTAAAATTGGTAACTATAAAATCAGGTAAGTACGGCGCTTTTTTATTCTCCATTGTATGCTTCCTTAATATAAACGATCTTCTAAACCCACCAGGAGCTGTAATCTCTTGATGGGACATCGCTAACCCAGTTTCATCAGGTAGATTATTATTAGAAGAAGTTACAGAAGTTCCTGAAAAACTCATTGATCTCTGCCTTACCAAATTATTCCCACTTTCTATTCTTGGCAAAGAAACAATCTGATTTTGAAAACTAACTCCATTTAAATTAGTACTCCCATAATTAAAGGATGATCCATTTTGTGAACTACTTGACCCTATCATTGGATCATTATTATTTAGAGGTTTTCGAGAATTCAGACTCATGATTAAAAAATCCAAATACTTTAAAACTTATACTGCAACCAATATCGTTCCAGATAGACTCTTTCAACGCAAACCCAGATGAGATTATTACTTATTATTTTCCTCTTATGTTCCTATTTGCCAAGCAATGGATAACTAAAACAGGACCGCACAAAAATCCACAATTAACACAACTTGATATCCCTTGTGCATGAACAGCCGTTACAGATCCTCAGCAATGAGATAGTTAAGCTTGTATAATTAAGATATCTCCCCATTCCACTATTATAATCAAACTTTTAATAGAAGAGGGTTTCTTCTATTCGATTCGAACCTTATTTTATTACCTTAGAATGAAAAAATACCAGTCACGTGATACACACATATACACAGAGATATTGGAACAAGATATAGAGCAAGATATAGAGCAAGACCATTAATAATGATATAACCAACCAGTACATATCTCTAGTATCTGTTTTATTACAACTAGATTGAGCTGTTCTTAATGCCTCATCGGAAGTTTATGTATTGACTCTTTATTCATATTTAATATTCTTGACCTTTGCTTAATATACTGGCCATTTCATTTCGAAAGGCTTTAAAAAGCATTTTGAACAAATCTTATGACTGATGATGATATAAGGTTGAGATGAGATAGATCTGTTAATTGTTAATAGAAGGGCTGAGAGTGGGGGATTCTGGTATACCGTTTCTAATTGTCTATATTTTGGAATCTCTGGTATTGATTGATTTAAGGCCAGTTACTATATTGAGGAAACTATGGCTAAATTACGTATTGCCGTTCAAGGATGTTGTCATGGTGAATTGAATTTGATATTCAAGAAGGTGAAGGAATTGAATGATGAGAACCCAATTGATCTGTTAATTATTCTGGGAGATTTCCAATCGTTGAGATCCGAAGAGGATTTCAAATCGATTAGCATGCCTGACAAGTACAAGAAACTAGGCGATTTTAGTCATTACTACAATGACGAGATCGAAGACCATGGGCTAATTCGTCCTCCTGTTCCAACACTCTTTATCGGCGGTAATCATGAATCTATGAGACACCTAATGCTATTAAGCTATGGTGGGTATGCAGCTGAGAATATATATTATCTAGGGTATTCAAATGTCATTTGGTTTAAAGGCATCAGAATTGGTTCATTGAGCGGGATTTGGAAACCTTGGGGGGTCGACAAGACAAGACCATCATGGGATGAATTAGAAACTAGGGATCTTTGGAGAGAGACAATCAGAGACCTGTACCATGTTAACAAACAAGATTTAGCACCGTTGTTTTTATTAAAAAATGGTACCAGTGCTGCTAATAGTAATACACTGGATATAATGTTAAGTCATGATTGGCCCAATGGAATCGTATACCATGGGAATTACTATGAGCTTTTAAGGAAAAAACCATTTTTTGAAAATGATATTAAATCTAGAAGATTGGGAAGTCCAATATCATGGCAACTATTAAGGAACATAAAACCTAAATGGTGGTTTTCAGCACATCTCCATGTAAAATACGAGGCTAGTGTAAAGCATACCAAAAGGAAAATTAGTGGGAAACCTACCAAGACCAAAAATAAAGATGAAATAGAGTTAGATTTGTCGTCATCTGAGGAGGACGACAACGACGAAGAAGAAGAAGAGAAAGATATTGTCACTAATTTCATGGCATTGGATAAATGTCTACCACGTCGTCAACATCTAGAAATAGTTGAAATCGAAACCAATACAAATCATCAATCGTATATTGATTCTGGATCCATGTATTGGGACCCAGAATTCATTAAAAATTTACAATACATCAATAAAAACCAAGATAAGTTGAACAAAACCCCATTCAAGGAAATCAATTGGAATGAGTTGATAAAAGATAGCAACATAGGGTTACCACCGAACGATGGTAATGCGACCAATTCAATCGATTGGTCACTGTACAAAGTTCCAAGTTATACAAAGGGGATACAAAAGAGGGAATCAGAGCAAACTCAATGGTTCATTGACAGACATATAAATAATTGTTGATTGAGTTGGATTGCCTCTACCTCTAAATTCAAATTCAAATTCAAATCCAAATACAAATACAAAGATATATATATATATAACTATGCTTATTCAACCAGTTGTTGTTGCGGTGGCTATCTTACCAAGTCGTGCGTAGGATAAGTTGAGGTATAGTGCTTCACCCTATAAAAACACAAAACCCTAGCATTGTTCAACCACCAAAAACCCTCAAACATACATTGTTCAACGCACCTTCTGCTGATAAAACCTAAAACATCAAGACCCAAACCAAACCAAACCTCAAATAAGTTCTAATCGTCGTTCCCATCCCATCCCATCCCATCACACTAAGAACCATCCATCACCATCTTCTAATGTAATCTTCGAAATACTCAACAGTTCAGTTACAAGAAATTTAAAGGAAAGCGAGAGAACTATATACCCAGATAGATATCAAAAAATTGAAAAAATACTATGTTAAGAAGTGAAACAAACGATTGTTAATTTATTCAGAGATAGAATTGGAGTTTTAATTGATGTTGAGGGTCTAGAAAAGTACTGGACATTTTTTGGATTAACGTTGTATTTACCGTTATTGAAGGTATTTTATAATTGCCTTTTTTTTTGGTGATTATTTTTAATATTATACACACTTTTTTTTTTAAGAAAGGGGAAAAGATCAATCAAAGCACATTATATTATATTATATTATATTATATTATATTATATATATATTCACTTAACGTCAATATTTTTTTGTTTTCCCTTTATTCACAGAGATATTAACAGTAGTAACAGGTACTATCATTAATAGTAGTTGTCGTTATTTGTTCTTATTTTGCTAAGGTTGGAAGAAACCACAATTGTTTTTGGCTAGAGAAACTGTTTTGTCCTTAAAGCAATTTATTTGTTTTGGGTCAGAATTTGATTAAAGAAACTTGTTTTTAACATATATTGGTATTATTTGTTTGTTTGTTTGTTTTACTTATTCTATTCTATTTGACCAAAAACTAGTACAGATATCTCGAGGAATAAAATAGCAATAGAAAGGGTGTTCTGGGTGGGTTGTTGTACTTTTGTTTTCATTAGGGAAATAGAAAAGATTTTACAATAATAATATTTTATTTTTATTTTTATTTTTATTTGAATACTCAGAATTCTAGAAAGGGTGTTATTTGTGAAAAAGTTATTATACTATATTATACTAAAAGAGAGACTTTGTCTGACCGTGCTTTTCATTTCAAGCTCCAAATCGACTATTGAAATATATTATCTTTTAATGAAATGGGTTCAACTTCCCAGAATGTTTTAGTAACTGACGATGAACATTTGCCAAATCTGGATGTTAATTGGCTGATCAGATCAAAAAAAATAGATAAAGCTTGGCAACAAAGTATAAAAAATACTCCGAAAGAACTTCAGGAAAAATTAACTGATGATATCCCTTTACATACAGGAAATGTCGCAGCTAATATTGATGAAGTTGGTAATAATGTAAACTCGGCTCCTCTTAAAGAGTGCTCAAGAAGGAGATCAGTTTCGATTTCGAATTTTAAACAGAACAAAAGTGATTCAGTTGCTGTAGTGAGTGATGATGAAGACTACGATACCGAAGAAGAAGATACAGACTCAAACATGCCAATTAGAAGGACAAAGTCCTTATCGAGTGCAGAGACTAACCGTAGAAAGCAGATCGATGATGATATGATGTCGAAAACAAAACCTAAAAAGCCAGGTTTTTTTAAAGGTTTGTTTGGATTAAGGAAAACTAAACCAGAGACTGACGATGACAGAAGTCCAGCACAGAGAAGTAGAAGGTCAAGCACAATAGAACCAAAATCCGATAGTAACGTGAAACCAAGTAGTAATACATCTTCTCGTAGTGGAAGTAGAAGACCTTCAACAGCTCCTCAAAATTTCAAAAAAATATCAAATCCATCAATTTCTACAGTTTCTTTGGAAGGAAATAGCCCCAAGCTAAACACACGAAACGAAGAAAGACCATGTTCAATTTCACCTGAGAGAAACAGTGAAAGAGACCTTACTACGGTTGATATGAAACTACTCGAATTTATAGATTACTATAGGAAAAATGGCTACAAGACCAATTCGTTTAACAAAAATTCTATTATCAAACAAAAGTCATCGAGAAGAAAAGGTGCCACATTCTCTGTATCAGAGGCATTCCATTCATCGGACGACGACGACTCTGATCCAGAAAATAATAACTCTAAAAACAAGAATAATAGAGTCGATGCAAAGGGTAGACCATTGCCTTCACTTCCTTCAAAATCAAAGTTTCGTCCCGCATTGAAAGGTTATAAAGTTGATAAGAAGAGTCCGGAACCTTCTTCAGGTTCGAGTGATGATTCAAACCTATCAGTAACCAACAATCCTAGTTCGCCAACTAACGGCTCATCTAGCAGATTTGGAAATTTTTTGAGGAAAGTTAGAACAGGAAACATTTCAAAGACAAATTCAGAAGAATTAGAATCACTTTCAGATAAGATTAAAATTGATTTAGATGTTGTACCTGGGTTGGATGAATGTAAGCCACTTAAACATGTTGCTTTTGCAACTACAACATACTTTAATGATCCTCCACAACAAATATGTAGCAAAAATCCTAGAAAGGGAGAAGTGGAAGTTAAAACTGATGGATCAATTGTGATACATAGGTTGACTGCCGAAGAGAAGAAGAAGATCCTCGAAACAACTGCTAGTGGCGTAGTCGTCGGGGGTACAGGAAACATGAAATTGCTTTCTAAGTTGGATGATGAAATGTTTAGAAGGGCATATGATAGAAGAAATAGAACTGAAGATAATGAAGAAGATATTAAACCACCAACAGGTAACTCAAAGAACATTACAATTGACGGAACAGGACCATATACACATAAAAGCGCTTCTAATTTAACGATCGACAAACCTATGACAGTGAGGAGATCAACAGGAGTAGCATCTACACCTTCACTAGTCTCTCTATTAAGAGACGACTCCTTTGACGGGGAAGTCTTTCCTCCCAAGAATTTAAAGATCCCAAATGATTTAGTCTATACCCGTTGTTGTCACTTGCGTGAAATTTTATCTATCCCAGCTACATTAAAACAAATTAAAAAGGGCTCAACTGATCCTATACCTTTATTACAGCTCCGTAACCCTAAACCTTCTCTGGTAGAAGTATGGTCCTTTAGTGATTTTGTAGCAATCAGCCCCATATTGTGTGTATCTTTAGATGGTATTACTTTATCAACTGAAATGCTTAAAATCATTCTAAGTTCTATTATTAACAAACCAAAGTTTGAAAAACTTTCTCTTAGAAATACTGTCTTGGACGAAGAAGGTTGGAAACTATTGTGTTACTTTATTTCCAAAGCAAGATCTTTGGTAGCTATTGATTTAACGATGGTACCCAGCATCAAGACAAACGTTCAAAAGCCTGCAAAGTCATCCTTAAGCAACCCCATTAAGAGAATGGAGTGCAGTTTGCAAAATAGGAGCGAAATGAATTGGGATTTGTTGACTGCCTCTATTGCAGTTCATGGTGGTCTGGAAGAAATTGTAATATCAGGGGCAGAAATGTCCTACCAACAGTTCGAGAATTTTCTAGATGTTGCTTGTGTTAATACCGAAAGATTAGGATTAGCATATAACAAGTTATCTAGTAACCATATGAAAAAATTAGGGAAGTGGGTAGTTTCTTCAAAAGTTGCTGGTCTTGATATTGGTTATAATGATTTAAACGGCAAGTTGAAGTGTTTCAATCACTCATTAACAGATTGGATAAGCAACAAGAACCAGAAAACGTCTTTCAAATATATATCGCTTAATAGCACAAACCTAGAGGTAGAGCCTGATGGTACAAGTGATACAAGTGAGCCTCTACGTTTAATTAGCACATTATGCTATTGTGACACATTAAAGTTTCTGGATATATCCAACAACCCTAAGATGTTTCCATATTGTACAAGGACTTTGTTAAATTGTCTACCAATATTTGTCAGTTTGATACGACTTCATCTGGATTTTGAGGCTTTGGATTCAACTTCAGTGGTAATTTTAGCTGAAGCTCTACCGTTGTGTACGAACTTGAATTATTTGTCAATGTTGGGGACCAAATTTGATCTAGCTGCAGCAAAAGCTTTAGTGAATGCTGTCAGAAAGAGTAATTCTTTAATTACTCTTGACCTAGATACTGGTGCATTACCCCCAAAAATCAGTGAAAAATTATCCTTGTATATAATGCGTAATGTCCAAAATGAAATTTCAAAGATGGAGAGCAAATGTGTAAACACATCCAAACCTAGCTCTGATCAATTTACAAACATTCAGGAAGAGCTTTCCAGTTTATTGAGCAACAAGGATGTAAATTCAAAGGCCTACAAACAATCGGTAAGTGAATTTATTATTAGATCTATGGCTGCTAGAGAAAAGTTAACCAAAGTTGTTCATGATCTTTTTGATTTAAGGTTGCATGGTCAATTGAGTAGAGAAGGTAAAGAAAGTCTCATACGTTTGTGTATTATTGATTCTTGTTTCGAAAAAGGTATTCGATTATTAAAAGATAGAAGTCCAAGTACGATATCTATTCCAAAGCAAAGCGATGAAGTTTCAACTATTGTTTCAACAGTTTTGAACCAAGAAACAAGTAGAGATGTTCAATCGAACGATGAATCATTAGATGGGCTTTCAGTTACGCCAGCCAAAGTTCCTGTACCTAAACAATTCGAGCGTACGGGCCATTCAGTTTTATTACCATTTGGAAGTGCTGAAGTTGAAAATTATTTTCCTGATGCTCATGAAACCGAAGACTTTACTGAAAATAGAGAAAAGGTTGTCGATGAGGCACACAGCCAATCGCGTGAAGAAGGTAGTGTCTTTAAGAGAAGTGCTGATTTCATGAAACAGTTGGAAGAATCTGTGGTGAAGACAGGCATGCAAATTAACAAAACTGCCTTAACTGACGCGGCTGAATCATTAGATAGTGACCAAATAAAAGAATTTCTGTTAAAGAATGATATTTCTACTACCGTAGATGTTATCGATGAACTGCATAAGCAAGGATACCATTTACATGATATTTTTAAGAAATCTGATTCCAAGAAAACTTCAATGGATAAAAGTGCAATCATTACCAAGGAAAAGGAGTCCAATGACCAATCTTCAGATAACTTTTCCGACAAATCAGCAACAATCACTGAAAATAGTAACGTATGCTTAATTGACGACTCCAGTTTAAATTACAATTCGGAAGAGGATGACGCAATTGATGCTGCATATGATGAAGTTCTTGACAACTTAGAACGGACAAGATCGCATATGTGAATTAACTTGACTGGAGTATAAAATATCCAATAGTTTTTCACTGTAAGCATTTCGATTAAAGGCATAATGTTAAAACTAACAATAATATAAAAAAAAATAAGAATAAGCATAAGTCAATCAAAAATAAAAAAACATCAAAGAAAAACGATATTTTCAAGAATAAAAAGTATCTAAAATTTCATGAATCATATAAAACTCGAATTAGAGTAAAAACAAAAAATAAAGCATATCTATTTATTTAATTTCATTTTTATTTAAATACCCATCGCTTGTATATGATAGGTATTTAAAATTGTATTTATAATTTTACAATGTAACGAATCATTAATGTAAAATATTAACAGAAAGTCAGATCATTATTCAGAAAGAAAGAGTAATATAGTGATATGTCAAGACGTTTTATAGCTTTGTATTGCAATTTTGAAGGAACTTAAATTAAAAAAAAAGAAGAAACAAAGCACTCACGGTGGGGGTCGAACCCACAATCTTCTGATTAGAAGTCAGACGCGTTGCCATTACGCCACGCGAGCTTAATTTCTTGAAAAAAGAAATGCAAAGTATCGAAGCGGTTGACAGGGAACAACGTTGATAGTTTTATCTCTACTACTACCTAATCAATCAGGAACAACAAGTTTAAGTTCATAATATAGTCCACTTAATTGGCCACAAGTATTTACAATCATGCAAATAACTCGGCTCATTTGTTTCATTATTCATATTAAATAGGTATCTTTCGTATCTAATTATATCAATTTCAATCGAAATGCTGCTGTATTATCACCATCTTAAGAGAAGTTAAAGTTTCAATTGATTAATACCCTTCTTCATTTCGATATTTAATAGTCAATTCAAACTGTAAACCATATTCACAGTAAGCGGAGATAGGTATATGAAATGGCATTGGAATGAACAGGTTCTTTATTCTTACTGCTGCATTTTTATATTATTTAATATGGTTGATTCTACCTATATTTGAATTAGATGAAGCATTGATTTTATTCCCACTTCCTAGTATATATGCTGTATACATACCAATTTTTCTGTTGTTACTTGGATTTGCATTAGTTGGGTCATATTTAGGTTATTTGTTGATCAAGGCTTAGTTCTATGTTTTCGTTTTCATAACCTACGATAGTCAATCAACACCTATTTTTACTTGTATTATTATTACAATTATATACTAATGTTGTTATCACAATCCTTTAACCAATGACCCTGGAATTGTATATATCACCTAAATATTTGTATCTAAACTATATAAATCCCATTTACTTTGCATTAAACACATTACTCTAAAAAGTCTATTTATTAATTACTTCATGCATCCATTCTTGCCATTTGCTTAATTTTTGCTTCAACACACTACCCTCAATGACGTCAACTTCACCTTCTAATGCAGAGAACTTGAAGTCTTTCATTGAATCCAATATATTTTCATTTTCCATCTCATCGTCTTCATCATCATCGACATTACTATCGGCTGTTTTCTTTACCGAACCCAACGACTGCTTCTTTCTTTTAATGATATCTGTAATCTCAGTTTCTAGGACAGTCTTAATCTTTTGAGGTGGTCTTGCAGTGAACGATTCAGATTTATTACAGGCTATTAATATATCTACACCATTATGCTTACGATTTTCGGTAATGTTCAATATTTGATATAAAAATTCAGCAGTTTCAACCAATTGTTTTGGATCTACAGTGGAATCTACTAGGAATACAATACCTTTAATATTAGTCGAGTTTCTCAACGAATCTAATAATTTATAACGTAATTTAAAATTACCTGGGAATTCTATTAATGAGACAGATTTATCATCAGAAGATAACTTAAAATCCTCACAAGTATTTGGGAATTGTGAAATTACTGTTGTTTTAAATGTTTCTGTAGTTAACCAATGAAACAATGCTGTCTTACCACTATTCGATGGACCTGCAATAAATAATGTTGGTTTCTTATTGCTTATCTTCTTTTCTGATCTACCTCCACCAGTACCACTGAATACACCTATCTTGCTCTTTCTACCAATCAAAAGAAATCCAATAGTTGATAATAATACAGCTAGGACAGCAACTATTAAACCTATATTACCAAATTCTTGATTATTCAATGCCATTTATGATTATTCTCGTAATTATGTTTTCAATATTGAATCCAGTAAAACTCAACAAAGAGATCAAGTAACTTCCTGCTTTTTCTTGGAATACTAAAGATCACTACTAGAATAACCTCTGATCTCTACAATTGAGCTCTTTCAATGGTATATTCCAAGATCTTAGGATCCTTTATGCCCTTTTTAAGTTCATCATCTTATTTCATCATTATGATTTAAATGAAAAATTTTCGAATTTCCTTAATAAAAAAATTCGATGAGCTTTAAAATAAAGCAGTAGCACTGTAACAAAGATCTAGTTAAAGATAGTCATAAAGAGGTAACTAGTGGTTATTGATATGGCTCTGATGCTTCGATTTCCAGTTATCAGAAGAGTATTAGGAAATTACCGTTTTTATTCCAAGTCTAATGGTGGTTTTGTTGATAAGAAGTTTAGGTATGAGGTTGATAATAGTATAATCAATAAGTCATTCGGAAATGATAGCAAAGATAGCTCCAAATATAAAGATTCGAATCAATTTGGGTTTCTAATAGATCAAGATAATAAGGGTAGGAATGGTTCTTTAGTTATTGAGAGGGAAGATGTAATTAATGATAATATACAATCAATTTATAGGGATGATTCAGGCGAATTGAAAACTGGCGACAATGCTACTGAATCAAGATTATTAGAAAATACATTAGAAGGTAGGGCTTTTAGAGATCAGATTAGGATGAATCCTTTAGTAGAAAAAGCTATCAACAAGAATATTCTTTCTTTGCATATCCCAAATAATTTAAGAAGGTCAGCTGCCAATTATTTTATTGAATTACACCAAACAAATTTGCATAGACCAACAGATACTCCCATGGAAGTAGATGCTCACATAGCATCTATTTTTGTTCAAAATTACTGTTCAATCTATCAATCTCTTAAAGAACTACAAAAAAGAATCGGTATAGACAAATTCAACCCTCAGAGGGTTCTTGATGTAGGCTTTGGTCCGGCGACAGGTATAGTTGCTTTAAATGACATATTAGGACAAGATTATAGGCCACAGGTTAAAGATGCTGTCATACTAGGTAATATTGAAATGCAAAAAAGGGCTAAGATTATATTAAGTAGACAATACAATGAGATTCCCCTAAATGAGTATAGGAATGAAATCAAAAATGAAGAAGAAGAGGATGATATTACTGAAGGAAAAGATCTTGTTGGGGAGGTGATGACAAAGAAGATTAAAATTGTGACAAAATTGAAGAATAAAATACCAGCATCAAAGCAATATGATTTGATAATACTAACTCATCAATTGTTGAAAAACAAAGAATTTTTCCCAATACAAATCGATGAAAATATAGAACATTATTTGAATATGCTTGCTCCAGGAGGTCATTTAGTTATGATTGAACGTGGTAATCCACTTGGGTTTGAAACTATTGCAAGAGCAAGACAGGTGATGATAAGACCTGAGAACTTTCCAGATGAACACGGTAAAATCCCAAGACCTTGGTTAAGAGGGTCCAGTGAGAAGAAGAATAACAAGACTAATAGAGATATAATCATTGAAGATGATGTAGAAGATGAGGAATTACAATTTGAACCTGAAGTTTTGAGAGCTATTCAAAATATGAACCAAAAAGATGAACCCAAGGATGTGGATTACCACATAAAGATCATTGCACCATGTTCCCATCATAGAAAATGTCCTTTGCAAGTAGGTAAACCTAATTATTACAACTATCCAGAATACAAAAATTTAAAATTCTGTAATTCCCAAAAGGCTATCATCAGACCTAAATTTAGCATTGAGTTAAAGAGAGGTAAAATATTGGCGGCACCATGGCAGGAACCTACAGATGGTATTGGTATCAAGGGTGAAGGTAGACCAGGTAAAGGTAGACCTAATGGACGTAATTTTGAAGTTGCAAATTATTCATATTTGATTGCAGAAAGAAGTCCGAATGATCCAGAAAGTATTAAAGAGATCGAGGAATTAAGGGAAAAATCAAAGGATATAAGATATCATATAGGTACTCTAGGGACCAAAGAGACATGGCCTAGAATCATTGTAGCTCCACGTAAGAACAAAGGACATGTAGTATTGAATATGTGTGCAGGATCAGGTGAGATTGAGAAATGGATTATACCTAAATCCTTTTCCAAAGAGATATACCATGATGCTAGAAAGAGTATGAAAGGTGATTTATGGGGTGTTGAAGCAAAGACGAAGATTAAAGGTATGGGAGATTTAAGAGTTAATAAACTTGAAGAATTTGAAAAGAAGAGAATTAAGGATTTGAAGAGATCGACTAGTCATGAAAGAACCAAGATTGAAGAGATGTATCAAGATATAGTTGACCGCGAAGGTATGGTTGAGAATGATGAAGAAATGATCCAGAAGTTAAGTAAAATCCATGGACATGATTATCAAATCAAATCAAAGAGGAAATGAGGCAAGATGTCAGCGTGAACTGGACGTAATAGATAGAGAGATAGATAAATTGATAAATATTATCCTTATTTTTTTACATGTAAATAGTTTTTAACAATGAAAATGACGATGATATATTGTTATTTTTTCTATTATAATATAATAAAATTTAGAAAAAAAGCTTTAGTTTAGGTATAAATTATACAAAAAAGTAGCATCCCAAATTTTTTTTTGATGAGAAAAGTGTGGAGTGGAATTCTAAAAATATACATCCAACTCTAATAATTTCTTTCCATTAATAATTTCTTTGAAATGACTTACTTTCTTCTGAAAGAAGTACCTTCAGACAACTTAGCCTTACCACCAGTTGGAGTACACAAAACGGTAGAACATGATTCACAGGTAACAGCGGTTTGAGCATGAGAGAAAACGGTGGTGATGTTCAAACAACCTGGACATTTAACATCCAAGAAGTAAGATCTTGGGCCTTGAACCAAAGTCTTTAACTTGTGTTTTCTAGCTTCAGAGGCAGCAGTTGGGTGCAACAAATCTTGGACTAAAACCTATTTATAATGGAATAAAACAAAAAACCAAATATGATAATTTTATTTTAAAAAAAGATAGTTAGTAAAACGTTGTTATTTCATCAAATAAATCAATATCAATCAATCAATCAACCAGTCAGTCAAGCAATCAATCAAAAGATATCCCACGAGTATTCATAAATTCCACTCTCTTATATCTAAAACATCTGGCAACATCATCTATTCATGAGTTAAAGTATTCGTTGCTGTTAACCTTGGGATTGGGAATCGTAAATACATTTCTTTCATTACTGTACATACCATATTGTATAGTGTCTGTGCTTTCTGTTGGGTGATACTGATATAAGGAAAAGAATAATACCAGACAAAAAAGTATATTGCAAACCCTCTTGTTATATATATTGAAGTTAAACAAAAGTAGTTTTCTTGTATATATCAGTTAGTTAAATTTTATTGATACCAGAGAAGAGAAGAGAAGAGAACAGAAGAGAGTATAGAATAGAATAGAATAGAATAGGATAGAATGTAAAGACCAACCCATCCATCATCCAGATGATAGTATAGTATAGTCTTTGACCATTACAAGAATATCGAGTTTAATTCAGGTTTAGTTGAGTTGTGAAAAGAGTCTCATCCTGTGGATTGTGCTGTGACATTTCATTGCACAGAATGGGGATAGAACAGTATAGCGTTGTTGGAATTTTTGGCAGCAGCTGAGTGAAACTTTTGGCAGTTGAGTGAAACTTTTTCACGATGCGATTTGAAATTGTTTTGGAAATTTTTTTGCGTGGGTGTTGGTTTTGTGCGTCGGTACGTTTGTTCCTGGTGCGGTGAAACGGGCGGAGAGGACTGTGGGACGGGAGCGGGAGCCGGAGCCGGGGGATCCCAAGAAAAGGGTCGGTTTTGGTGGTGTATGGATGAATGGTGGGTATGCACGGGTGCAGCAGTCACTTGTTTGTCAAACTGAAGTCAGGTGATCTGTTTATTGTATATGTGTGGGGTCAGTGGAGAACATCAGCAAGAGAAGTTCAATGTGTCACGTGCACGACACTATTTTAATATCTACAACTGTCGTACACCAATCTGTGCATCATCACTAACTTCAATTATTGGCTGGACCTGTTTATTTACTATTTACATATGACATCTTCTATCTACACACACACACACATACACTATATATATACATATATTTCATCTTATAAGCATGCTTGTTCATTGATATCAATGACTATTTTCCAAGACCATAATGTTTCATTATCATATCGATATCACCAAATGACTCTCTTTTACCTTGCATTACTACTGTCGCCTTTCCTGTCCCTTCTCCTTCATTCCTAACTTGCCCTGTGAATACTCTTTCTGCTACTCTTTTAATATCGTTCGCTGTCAATTTCTCAATCTTATTGACCATCTCTGTCACAGCGACCTTACGTCCAAGCAATTGCACTTGACGTCCCATGTCTTCTAGCTCAACTAATTTAGATTCAAGGTTCATCAATAATGAAGACTTCAATTGATTCTTTGCACGGTTGACCTCACTATCTAACAAGGGCAATCTTTCATTGCCGAATGTGCTCAACAACTGTTGCGCAATCACTTCAATTGCCTGTGGAGCTGCTTCAGGTATACATGACACCGAAATTCCGAATATACCTGAGTCAGAGTATGAATGATTAAACGAAACACAATTCTCAATGAAATAATACTGGTTCAATACATGTGTATATAACCTGGAATACATACCTTTACCAGGTCCACCAGCACTGAATGATCCACCACCTCCCAACAGCGTTTGTAATGTAGCCAACGCGTATATGTCTTCGTCATCGATGGGCAACCCTTCAAATCCAACTTGAACATGATATAATTCTGGTAACCCACCAAAAATAGGACCTGGAGGAATACAGGTTTCACCACCAACGTATTTTGCCACAGCAGGTGTTATTTTTGGATGCGTAGATTCCCAATCACCAAAATAATTTTCCGCTAATTTCATAGCTTTTTCATGTTCAACACCAACGAATGATACAACTGTGTTGTCAGGATTGTACAACTTGTTTCTATAATCTTGTAAATTGTATTTTGAGATCGAAGGAACCAATTCTCTTGGACATAACAATGGAGAACCTAAAGTCTCCCCACCAAATGCTGTGTTATGTAATAATTCTGGTAGAATCAATTCGGGTTTCATCCAAACCTCATCAATCTCGTACTCAGCTGTCATTTTTTGTTCTTGCAACTCTTCTGCAGTCAATTTTGGATACCTAATAGTTTGACACATAATATCTAACATTTTCTCAACATCACCATTAAATACTGACGCTTGATACATCATTGATTCTCTAGATGAAGTACATTGGTAATTACCACCAAGAAGTTCCAATTTCTCAGCAACGGTTTTACCATCCATGCTGTCAGTAGACTTAAAAGCCAATCTATCGATCATATGAGTGCAGCCCTTCATATTCCCCTTTTCATACCTTGAACCTGCACCAACATAAACTCCCAATGCACTAAAATGACTAGGAATACTAGTAGTAGCAACTTTTAATCCATTCCCTAAACTACTCAATTGGAAGGTATCCCTCGAGACATGGGAATACAGCCTTCTGCTTATCCCTCTTGATCTTAACATCATCTTCCAATCTTCAAATACTATCGATACCTAAATAATCTCAATATTGAATAGTCAACCGTAAAAGTTCAGCTTACCTTAAGATTCAAATAAAAGTACTAATTCCTCCCAGGATCTCAAGCTTATATAACACGAAAAATCTAATAAAAACCAACCTTATTTATACCTGATTACACTTTTAATAAACATAATCCACCTTTATCAAGTGAGAATGACATCAAATATAAGAACTGGCTCTTGTTGAAACCATAAATATTCTGCTAGTGTAAGACTAAAAAGAGTCTGGCTAGACCTGATCCCATCTCATTTTTCATCATCATCATCGTTATTGAAAGTTCCGTCAAAAATTTAGATATTGATGAAGAAATGAAGAAATGAGTAACCAAGAGATGATTTAGATGATGAAAGTATAACATGAACAGGTGTATGTTATTGATTAATTGATCTGTTGGCAAGGACGTATTTTAAGTTGTTAGTCTCTAATTTGTTAAACTTTTTTAAAAGTCTGGTTGGTTCAAGTAAGAGAAGTGCGAGAAGGAGTTTAATAATTGTTCAATTTAGAATAACATACATCGATGCCACGTCAATTTAAGATCAGTGTACCGGCATCTTCTGCTAATATTGGGCCAGGTTACGATGTGTTAGGTATTGGTTTGTCATTGTTTTTGGAGTTAGAAGTCTCTATCAATTCAAAAGATGCTGGCGAAACTAATCAGGATGTTAATAATTGTAAATTGAGTTATAGTGAAGATAGTGAGGGTTATTCTTCTGTTCCTCTTGACTCAGATGCAAATTTAATCACTAGAACTGCTTTGTATGTTTTGCGTTGTAATAACATTAGATCATTCCCTTCTGGTACTAAGGTTCATATCAAGAATCCTATTCCTTTGGGTCGTGGTTTAGGTTCTTCCGGTGCTGCTGTTGTTGCTGGTGTAATGTTAGGTAATGAGGTTGGTCAATTAGGCTTCAGTAAGCAACGTATGTTGGATTATTGTTTAATGATTGAGCGTCATCCAGATAATATCACCGCTGCAATGATGGGTGGGTTCTGTGGTTCTTTCTTGCGTGATTTGACTCCACAAGAGATGGAAAGACGTGAAATTCCATTAAGTGAAGTGCTACCTGAACCAAGTGGTGGTGAAAATACAGGATTGGTACCTCCTCTACCACCAACCGATATCGGTAGACATGTTAAGTATTCTTGGAATTCAAAGATTAAATGTATTGCTATCGTTCCAAATTTTGAATTGTCTACTGCTGATTCAAGAAGTGTCCTTCCAAAGGCATACACTACTTCCGATTTGGTATTCAATCTACAAAGATTAGCTGTCTTAACCACTGCATTGACTTTAGACCCACCAAGTGCCGATTTAATCTATCCTGCAATGCAAGATCGTGTCCATCAGCCATACAGAAAAATTTTAATTCCAGGGTTGACTGAAATCTTGTCTAGTGTCACACCATCCACATACCCTGGACTACTAGGTATCTGTCTATCTGGTGCCGGTCCAACTATCTTAGCATTAGCTACTGATAATTTCGAAGACATCTCCCAAGAAATCATTAATAGATTCGCAAAATTCAACGTAGAATGTACTTGGAAATTATTGGAACCTGCCTATGAAGGTGCTGTTGTTGAACAACTATAAGCAACTAATTTTTTCAATTCTCTACCATCTTAACCGAAGTTAAGTTTCCCTTTATATTATCCCACCAATTTAAATTTATTTTATATATATATATATTTATATATCATGTTATAAATTGCCCAGCATCATAAATTTCTAGCCAATGAAGACTGGAGCAAAAAAAAATAACCTCGAAGAGGTTCGTCTACATTCACTAATGATCTTAATCAGATTCTAATTTAGCAATAACTCATTGGGAAACACCTTAATTCAATTACTGTCACTTGAACTCTTGCAAGTGTCCACCATTCTTATACAAACAATCACGTGATGGCACTTACCCGGCACATTTAGTCCTTTAAATTTATTTTGCTGCAAAGGCTTCTCACTTTCAAAGGATATTTAATCAAATTGAACTATATAAAGATAATACATCACCAACTTAATTGAATGATTCATCAGTAGAGGATTAATTGATAAGTTCTATCTCATCGAGATCAGAGTAATTGATATCTAGTGGATATATATTGGGTAGAATACGATGTCAGCTGTGAAAGATGGTCAATCCGATTCTTTAATGGGTAAAATTTCAATTAGAAGTATAGTTAATTATTTGCTATGGTCAGTAATTATACTATATGTTTTATACAAGTTGCTTACTGGTCATGGTTCTGATATAAACATTGGTAAGTTCCTTTTGAAGACATCTCCTTATATGTGGGCAAGTTTAGGTATTAGTTTATGTATCGGTCTAAGTGTAATTGGTGCTGCATGGGGGATTTTTATTACAGGTTCTTCAATTATTGGTGCTGGTGTAAGAGCTCCAAGAATCACAACTAAAAATTTAATATCTATTATTTTTTGTGAAGTTGTGGCTATCTATGGTTTAATCATTGCCATTATTTTCTCTTCCAAGGCTTCTTTTGCTTCCGGTGATGCTTTAGCTTCAAAATCAAATCTATACACCGGCTATTCATTATTTTGGGCAGGTTTAACCGTTGGTGTGTCTAACTTGATTTGTGGTGTAGCTGTTGGTATTACAGGTTCTACTGCAGCAATTTCAGATGCTGCTGATCCTACACTATTCGTTAAGATCTTGGTCATTGAAATTTTTGGTTCCATTTTAGGTTTACTAGGTCTGATAGTGGGCCTATTAATGACCGAAAAGGCAGCAGAATTCTCATAAGATAAAGAATTTACAAAAAAAATATACAGCAACGCATTCTAATCAATCACTATATGTAACTGATTATACAAATTTTTTTTTTTAAAAAAAGAATAAAATAAAACAAAATAGAAACAACAGAAAACATAGATCCAGGAAATATTCCAATTTTAATTAAGTTTCTCAACTCAAAAAAACCCTTTTATATACCAATATATATGTATTTATATACATAATCGATTAAAAATGTACTTTCGACTTAATAATTGCATTAACCTTTTGCCCTTAATTATATAGAGAAAATATTATATTTAAAGAAAAAAAGGGTATACTCAAAGCCTTCTATTTACACTAATGACTCAAGAAATCAAAATCAATATATTTGATATATTCATTATTATATAACATTACTTTTTACAACCTGTTACTTTTCCAGTCTTATGTAAAATTGTCAATACTCAATATTTACTATTAAACGATCTTCCCTCATAAATATCTTCCATCCAAACCAAATTCCAATTCCTTCTCTAAATCAAAAAACTCATTGAACTTATAATTTGATGCAGAGTTTAAGTTATCTTT